AATTCAGATAAGGTTGTTCTCGGTTATCCACCAAATGTTCAAGATTTATGGAGAACTAAATTTCAGAATCCAGATATATTAATGATATGTACACTTAATAAGATATACGAATGCTTGATAAGATTGTACTTGCCTCGCTTATAGCAAATCGAAGTAACAAATTAATGTGATTACACGGAGATATATTATCATCAAATCCAGACAAATTAATCGTTTTAGATAACAGTTCCAAATCTTCTTCACTGACTTCCGAAGAGACAACACTCCTAATAAGAAATTAAAATTATTTATTCCTAATAAGAAATTAAAATTATTTGATCTTAATAGACTTTGACTGATGAGAAAAAAATATACTTTTATAATATATTATCGCATTACCTGTCAAGCTTTGGTACATTATTGGTAACTACTTCTTTAATAACGGGTTTAAAACCATTATGCATCATTATAACAGATGGCAAACACACACCAGATTGTACTTTCATTAATTCTTTTAATGAAGTAAAAGTAATTCTCGATTTTTGTTCAAGAATAGGATTTTTAAAGGTAGTTTTATATTTTTCAACATTATTTTCATATAGCACTAGCAATTTATTCAAAAAGTGTGCCATCAGTTGCAATTTGTTTTCTGATAAATTCAATTTTACGTTTGAAATATGTACATTGAGTTTTGTCCTGTGAAAGTCACATATTAAAAAGAGGAATAAACAAGAGAAATAGCAACAATTTCTTACCGTGGTAATTGACGATATTCCGGTCTAATACTATACGAAAGTGTTGCATTCGCTTGCAGCTTGGGTAACAAATGATACTCCGAATCGTTCCGCTTTCTCGCAGAGCGCCAATCGTCACCCGAATGACAAAATAAAATTTGCGCGCCGGAAAACACCATATTAAGTCTGTCGTAAAGTAATTCTTCCAGTTCCATGAGAGTGGCATCTTCCAGTTGCAAATTCGCTGCTTGAAGTTCATTAGTCAACATCACATTACCGAGATCCAAGACAAGTATATATCCTCCTCTAAGATAAAAAAAAGATGTGTGATATTTTTTGTACGCTTTTTTTCATAATCCTACATACATAGTGACCATACTTTTGAATCGATCCGTGTTCGGGAAATATAATATACGGACTTTTAATATCTATTTTGAAACTAATTCTCAATGTCTGTGAAGTGATGTCGTCCACAAAGTTGAAATATTTTCTTTTGGCATAATCCCACAATCTGTATATTCCGAGAATCGTGCCATAGATGTAATTGGTGTTGAATTTGAAAAAGTTTATAATCTCCACCATGGCAAACTAAATAAGAAATAATGAATGTAAGAGAGAGATTTTGGAATTGCGACCGAAATAAACGCATATAAAAGCGCTATTACATGATGATAAGTCACTTCGATAGCTTCTAGCTTTATAGATACTTCAAAAATAGGATCCATATTTAATCCATTCTTCTCAAAATCTATGGCCAAGAAATAAGTGGACACATTCCCTATCGGTTGCATATAATAATTGCAATTAGTATTTATAATAGTATTTATAATAGTTTATAACATTAATTGCTTAGCAAGATAAATAAATAAGTGTGTTACCTGTCAACACATTATCAACTGTAATTAAAGGAACCAAATCACCGTCGGTTGATATAGCTTCGACAACAAAACTCTCAGCACGAGCAGATATCTTGAAAGCTAGTAATGTAGGCCGTGCCTCGATACTTGTCAGTAATTGTGCGACAGTTACAATCAACATTTCTTTGCCTTTGCTCAAAAGAGTCAGACAACAATTTGCCAAAGTAAAGTTCAATTTGTAATCTACAAACATGAATAAAATAAAAATTCGTGTCAAATATTTGCTTTTAATACAACACAAAATTCTTGTAATAATTTTCTTCATAATATTATATAAAAAAGTAATTAATAATTTTGAGGAAAGTATTTGTGCGCTCACCGATTTGCTTTAGTGTCTTTTCCAATTTTATCTGTAAACCAGATATATTATCCTTCACATCTATCATTGAATTTTGGCTCTCTTCTTTGGTTTCTTCTTTGTTGGATTGAACCATTATATTTTGATCCTTTTTCGATAATATTTCGACATTGACATTTTCTGATGAATTCATTGTTGTAGTTTGGCACTCGCGCTCGATATCCTTATTCTTTAATTCTTGTTTAGCGTGCTCCCTCGCGATCACTATGTTTAATATTGTCAGACTGTCCTCGTATTTTTGCAAATCCAGTTTTAACTCTGTGTCGTTTGGTCGTTGCAAATTTTGAATACACACTTCTTTATAATTTCTATAATTTTTTCTATGTTTGGCTATATGCGGCCAGGTATATGGTTTAATATAGTGATCCAAGATAGAATTATAGGCGTATCTCCACCAAGATGTTGGCTCCTCGTATACACTTTTTTCAGGCCGATATTTAGCATGCGGTCTGCAAATATTACATATAATTATTAATTTTTAATCATATTTTATTAAGGATAGAAAGAGAGAGAGAGAATTGATTAAAAATACATTTAATATTAAAATAAATAGAAGAATTTTAGTAAATTCATTACCTATTAACGATCGCTCGTAACAAAGACTCTTGAATATGGCAAAATGTAGCATATTGTGTTTCAGATAGTTGCATTGCCACATCCTGGAGCACAATGTCGACCAACATACGAGAAGCTTGCATTTCCGTACCTTTGTGTATGATGACTTTGATCTTTGCTGTAAAAGGCTTCAACACTTCAACAAAAAAATGAAATTAAAATCAAGATAAAAGTGGAGAAATAATATTTTTCTTTTTTCATGTACAAGATATTGAAATGAATAAGAAAATGTCAAACATACAAAATTGAAATTCTTGATTTCTCATTCCGAATGTTTGCAGAGATCTATGCATCGCGCTTTTCCATGCCAGAAGATTGGACATGTCCCAATTATCCTGGACATTGATACAGGATTGTGTATCATGATCCATATACACACTGAGTGATTCCGCGCGTATAAGCTGATATACTGTCTGTGAATTTGTAGCACATACTCCAGGCTTCCATTTACTGAAATTTATCATTTCTATTAACAACATTGGACATACATAATCGAAACATGACAATATGTGTCATCAAGTTACTTCTTACTTGTTGGTAGTTGTAATTGATATACTTTGTATACATATACCACAGGCACAGAGAAAGTTTCGCAATATTTTCTCTTCATATCTAATATGTACATTATTTATAGTAATTTGAAAGTTTTTTGTGACTGATGCTAATAGACCATCAAATAGCTGAGGAGGTAGACCTATAAAATGAAAGAAAAATAAATTATACAGAGATAAAACTTTGAGAAAAACACTTTAACGTTTATATTAATAAATGAAAAACTTTGACAAGCATGTAAATTAAATATACCGATATTTCCTAGAAAAAATAGAATAAGCTCAATAAGGCAATTTGTTAATAAATATCTAATCTTGACAAAAATATTTAACTACCTGCTTTAAATAATTCATCTTCCTTGAGATCCTCAAGAATTTTCTTTTTTTCTGCTCTTATCAAACGTTTCTGTATTTCTGGATCATATGGACCAGACAGTGCAGGTACTGCTACTGCATATATATCCTACAGAGAATAAAAATAATTATATATGAAACATACTAAGTTCTTTATTAATATATATACATAATTGTATATGATTTCATATACTATTTCAATATAAAATATTACAACATTATTATATATAAATTTCTTGATACCTCTATGCATATCACAATTGGTTGCGAAAAGAGTCCAGACCATGGTATTTTCAAAATAATTTTTCCTATCAAGCCAATCTCTATTCTAATAGGTAATCCCAGTTGATACTAAAAAATATATAAATATAAAATATATATATATACCTAATATAATTCTATTTTATATAAAATGAGGACAAAATTTTGAGCAAACCTAGATTAACTTAATTAGTAATAGAATTTTGCCTACAGCAAAAATCAAATTTATCAATCCTAATTAAATTTTTCTTCCAATATGTCAAAAGTTAATAATTCTATCATCATAATTTTAAAAAATATTGCAACTTTTATTGAAAAATTAATCGCCGAATAAGTTAATCGAAGTTTAGCTCTGAAAATTTTTTTATTTAACTATTGGAAAAGTCGTACCAGAGCTTCCGGTTTCAACTTGAGATCGGTGAGGCACGTATCCCCGGAGAAAATACCGACGTTGAACTGTTCCGTGTCCAGGTCCTCTACGTACCTACCCAGCAGACGGTTCAAAAATGCCGCTATAGCCCCCTCGAACATCGTAGCTGTCAGGCCCGTTGGCCGTTTTCTATGGGTATATTTCGCGAGTCGAAAGAAGAACGAGATCAGCTGGAGTCGACCTGGCGCCCGGTTGTCACCATCGTCATAACCTCAAGATTGTTGTAAAATAATTCAGTCATGCGCGACGCCACCGCAATCTTTATCGATCTTGAATTTCGTCTCGCCATCAGTATAAGGACGTATTCACATCTTGGCAGTAAAACAGACAGCAAAAAAGCAGAGAGCCAATCAGAATTCGCGTTGGTAATAAGCAGTGGCTGCGGTCGGGAAGACGCTTTGGATGCTTTGAAGCGTTTGATTGACCAGCGCGAGTTGTGATTGGCTTGGGTTGCACGCGATTGACCACGTCGCCAATTGGCCAATTCAAAATAGAACTCTCTGATTGGTTAATCATTCCTGGTTACCCTAGGCAGATCAATATAATTGGCCGCATTCAGCGGACTCAACCGCTAAGTAGCAATCGAATATGATTGGTCTCTTTCAGGTCCGACCAATCAGCGTCGAGTTACATCGAAAAATCTAGTAATGTGTCCAACTGTTGAGTCCGTTGAATGTGGCCATTGGCTGTGGTCATTCGCAACGTGGTCAAACGGGACGCTCCCAATTGGCTTCTGCTTTTCTGTTTTCTGCCAAAGTGTGAATGCGCCTTTAGCTTGAGCCTTTTATAAAAACTGGTTTCGGCTTCCTCTTCCTCTCTCACTACCCAGTGCCACTAATAGAAGGTAACGTCCTTTTTCGTACCTTGCACGGCCTGTTTTAGGAGTGCTTGTATTTCGTGCAATTTTAAAATCGTCTTGACATAATGGTAAGCAGATTATTTCTCTTAATATACGGCTTATTTGTCAAATTAAACTTTAATATACGTGGATTATTCATTAGAAATCGACAAAAAGATAAGATGTCTATTTTTTAGAGAGATTCATTTGTCGCATGCTGGAAAGATACTTGACAAAGAAATTCACATTTTCTTCATATAGCTTTAAAATTACTTGAAATAATGTATCTTTACTTGACAGGCTTTAATTAGCTATCAATATTTATAATTTCCAATTATGTATTTCATATACATATATATATATATATATATATATATATATATATATATATGTATGTATGTATGTACTTTTTCTTTGGCTCATTGAACTCTAAATTTTATATGCAAAATATGTATATTGTCTGTTAGCAATAGAAATAGTATTTAGAAAGAATGATCCCTTAAATAATAAGTTTACATATTATATTCCTTAAATCCCTTAAAATAATAAGTCGGATATCTTAAGTTTATCAATTATTTATTTACTGTAAACCTCCGAAAGAATATCTGAATGTATCTGATATATATTGCTAAAATGATGACACACCTAGCTCGCTTTGATGTTTTAATGAAGAAAACATAATTGTTCCCTATATATATAATCTGATTAGCAAAAATATTAGATAATATATTTATGAAATATTGAGAGATTAAAATTAATTGTCGAAAGTTAATCATGTGTTTAGTTATACATCGTGCAATTATATGCTTATTTATTAAAAAAAAAAAATTTTATTTTATGATAAAAGAATTCGAGCTTGTTTAGAAATTATTAAAACTTAACTTACTGTTGACTTATCTGAAATATTAAAATCAATAATATTAATAATTATTCAAAAATTAATAATTAAATAATTTAAAGCTTTTTAAGGCTTTCTTTATCTGATCTTATTCTAATACCTGTGTGCTCTTGTATAGGGTTTTGTCAAAGTAGTCAAGAATAAGCAGTACTTCAAGCGTTATCAAGTTAAGTTCAAGAGGCGTCGTGAGGGAAAGACCGATTATTACGCTCGCAAAAGATTAACTATTCAAGACAAAAACAAATACAATACACCCAAGTATAGATTAATTGTACGTCTTTCTAACAAGGATATTACATGCCAGGTAAATTGATAATAAACATAAATTTAATTAAAATTAAATGTGTAATTTAGATGTATTAGAACTAACCAATCTCTTTATTCTTAACTTTTATTTCTATTTGTATTACACACACACACAATATATACATGTATATGCAAAACAAAAATTTTTAGTGAAATTGGAGACATTTATGACTGCAATTTCACTAACAATTTTTGTTTTGCATGATCAAATGGTCAATATTTAGTAATGAAACATTAGTACAAAAAGCCAATTTATAAAAGCTTAATTGGTCGAGAACATAGAGAAATATACTATATTTTTCAATGTATTATAATTTTTACCTAATATATAATTATATATTATATAAATATATATTATATGAGTATATGAAATGTATATATATTCTGTGTGTGTGTATATGAGTATGTTATTTATGCAAAAAATCGACAATTAGCTAATAATAAATCTTCTCAAGGTTGCTTATTCGAGAATTGAAGGAGATAGGATTGTGTGTGCTGCTTACAGCCATGAACTCCCCAAATATGGTGTTAAAGTTGGTCTCACCAACTATGCATCTGCTTACTGCACTGGTTTGCTCTTGGCCAGAAGGGTAAGTCATATTTTTCTCTATTTTCTTTGCAAAAATATGTATAATATCTGCAACATATACTGCTGGCAATGGCCATACTACATTGTAAAATACCAGTTCTCATCCGATCACTGAAGTTAAGCAACATTGGGCATAGTCAGTACTTAGATGAGTGATCGCTTGAGAAACATACTGCTAACATGATGAAACACCTAGCTCACTTTGATGTTTCACTGAAGAAAACGCAATTGTTCCCTGCATATATATTCTGATTAGCAAAAATATTATACAATATTAGACAATTGTATTAAAAAAACTAGCATCTTATATGATTTGCTAAAATCTATAGTTTTATTCTTGTAGCTCCTTAAAAAGTTGGGATTGGATACTTTATATGTGGGTAGTACAGACGTGACCGGTGATGAATATAATGTTGAAGAATTGGATGACGGCCCAGGTGCCTTCAGATGTTATCTAGATACGGGACTTATGCGCACCACAACAGGCGCCCGAGTTTTCGGTGCCATGAAAGGTGCGGTAGATGGCGGTCTCAATATTCCTCACAGGTAAAAAAAAAAGTCATACGTGTCATTCTGCTATTTCATTAAATCTACTACTTTTATATTTTTCCTTTTTCTTGTATGAAATATATTTTTGTTTTGAAATTTACTTTTATTTTTACATTTTACAATGGCGATCTAGTAAATTTCACATACAAAGTAATAGAATTGCACATGTAATAGAATTAAATAAAAATTTTTCTGATAATATCGACTTCAAAATATACTTCAAATTACTACTACTATTGTTCTACAGCACCAAGAGATTTCCTGGATATGATCCTGAATCGAAATCATTCAATGCAGAAGTGCACAGACAGCATATATTTGGTCAACATGTTGCAAATTATATGAAAACTCTGGAAGAAGAGGATGACGAAGCTTTCAAAAGACAATTTTCACAATACATTAAGCACGGCATCTCTGCGAATGATGTAAGCAATTATATATTGCAATTTTTAATATATGTTTATATTATTTTAATATACATATACATATATATCCAATTATTTTAATATACATATACGTCCAACTATAATTACTGTTTAGATTAATTAAATCTATGTAGTGTCGCAGTTGGACAATAGCAATTTTCATTGGTTGTTAAATGTGAATGCATTACTGCATTTATCAAAATAAACCTATGTTACATTATTACTAAATGCATATTAGATAAGTATAGAGATATGAAAAATGTATTTTTTTTGATAGATCGAGAACATATACAAGAAAGCTCATGAAACAATCCGCGCTGATCCAGAACATAAAAAATTAACGAGAGAAAAAGAACCTATTAAGAAGAGATGGAATCGCGCAAAATTATCTTTGTCCGAGAGGAAGAATCGTGTGGCCCAGAAGAAAGCTTCATTCCTCAAGACCTTGGAAGAAGCAGAAGTGTAACTATTCTCCTATCAAAATCATTTATGATACACAAACTTGTGTTTATATGAATGAAGAATAAAGAAAACCTAATATATATGATGAGTTTATAAATTGTAATTACATATTTACGTTTTTTTTTTTTTCCTTTTTTTTTATTATCGTCAGGAAATACAGGTTGACTTTATAATGAAAATTTTTACATAAAATTTAATTTTGTTGGTAATAACAAAATTACTTGAATCGCTCTTATATATTTGTTTCTGTGGTAAAAATCGATTGTTAAATGTAAGAAAGATACTCTTAGTCCGTGTTAAAATTAATCTTTTGTATCTTGCATTAAACTTTTGATTAATCATTTTTTTATTTTCTCTTGTGCTATCAAATGATATAAATAAATAATTCTGAATTTTCAACTTTTAATGAAATATTTTATATACATCTATTATTTTAAATGTGTGTAATAATCACAATGATATTGCAATATTACACAATATTTAAAAAAATTCATAATTTTGATAAATTTTATCAATTTTGCATCATATCGTCCTGACGCGGCGCATGAGAAAGCGGACATGAACCAGGGAGAAGTCTGACAATATATATAAACTATAGAATGGGAATCAAATAGCTTTTCGCGAGCCAAGAGAGAATATTCGTCACGGCTAGGTATCTCACTTTGTCCTTTTAGATCTGCTTGCTGTCAAAGATATGCGTAAATGCGTGTGAGCGAGACACCTGGAAATCTACCTATCTCAAGCTCGCTATTCATATATAGTACATACGTATAGCACGGCAGTTCCCATTCCAGAGAGTTTATATATAGCAATATGTAGTTCAATGACATTAGCAAAGGATATTGTGTCGCCACAATGTCGACACCTGTAGAGTGGATTTCCGTTGCACTTTCTGCATTTTGAACGAAATAGATGCATGCTTGCAGACTGCTGGAGAAAGAAGACAGATAGAAAGAAATTGAGAGAGATAGAAAGTTAAATGCGAACAAAGATCTTATAGATTCATTATTCTCAACTATTGTTTTGCACTTTTTACATTAGTAAAGATGACGCAGCGAACCGTGACAAAAAGCGGAGTCTATAGAAGCGATAAGATTAGAGATATGTTATCTCTTGTGCTACATCATATACTTGCAATTTGTATAAATAAAAATAAACTTGCCAGTAAAAATGTCAGCTACAAGATGGAAATTTAGATAAAAATTATCTCTACAATCTTGACATCGATCGTACACATATTTCTATAAAGTATTTCAGAATTTCTATTTCAATGTACATACATATATCAGTCAAACTTAACATATGCATTGCAATATATAGTCTTTTTATTTTTATCTAGTAAATAATTTCAGATTAGAAATAAAAATTTGCAGATTCGGATAAATTCAATTTTTTGGATATTGAGATCCGAATAGTTTTAATTATCCGGATTGTAGTCATAACTTTATATATTCAGATATATATTATATACCTCAATATAACATGTGTATATGCATATATATACATATACATACATACATACATATATATATATATACACGCACGCACACGCGCGCGCACACACGCACACACACACACACACACATACATATACATAAATACACTGTGTGAGCATTTATTATCGTACACATTTTGTATTGTACAAGATCGACGGTTTCAAATAAATATTTACAATAATGATGATCATAGATTAACAAAATATAGTATACATTATTAAGTTTGCATGTAGAATATATATTCACATATTCATTATCGTTCAAAGTTACTAAATAATGTATCAATAATGAATGCAAAAATGTAATATAAAGCGCGCGGTACCTATAAAATATGACTGAAAAGATCAATACTATTTTATTACATGTAACAAATCTATATACAGGGTGTCCCACGTAGAAGTGGCCACCTCCTTTTATCTTTTAAACTAAAAGAGATAGACCATAACAAATATAATGAAATTAAATGGCTTTAACTGAACTTTATTGTGAGTATAGTGGTTGATTACAAAATTTATCTGTATTAAAGAACGGAGAGATATGTATAATTTTTTATAATAATGTATTTTGATATAATAAAAGTTGAATGATGGACGTCGCCCGCGATATTTCAAGCCGGAAAATCTCGTATAATATGTAAAATATTTACATTAAATATCATACATCGTTATATTCGTTTCAAACTACTACAACTTTTATTATATCAAAATATCTACATTATTATAAAAAAATTATACATATCTCTCCGTTCTTTAATATAGATAAATTTTGTAATCAACCACTATACTCACAATAAAGTTCAGTTAAAGCCATTTAATTTCATATATATTTGTTATGATCTATCTCTTTTAGTTTAAAAGATAAAAGGGGATGGCCACTTCTAGGTGGGACACCCTGTATATATGTTCAGAAATTTAATGGATTGATAAATTCTGTTTTAAATGATCAATTATTTAAAAAAACAAAATCGTTAATTTTTACAATGCGCACTAACTTATAATTGTTCGCCAAGTCTATATCATCTATTTCGTATCAGTCTCTTACATAGAAAAATGCGTGAAAATATGCCATGGACACAGAAATGTCCGCGCGACCATAATCATAGAATAAAAATGTTCGATTTATGTAGCAAGATTATTCTTAGTTTCACCCGTGTTTGGATCCACAATAACCCTCTTGTTTACAGTTGAAGTACCTAGAGATAGAGAGTGCGGTTCGGTAAGCGGCAAAAATCTGCCATCGGCGCATTCCTTGAACAAGAGCTCTTTCATCCGTTGTCTTCCCTTCTCCTCTTCTTTGCCGTTTACCTTTGGTATCTTTTCCATCATCAGCGTCAACAGCTCGACAATGAGATATGATTCGGGTTTATACAATCTCGTAAAGTGCAATCTGATGTGTTCGCCAATATTTTCATCCTTTCGCGGAATATAATCGCAATGCGGACATGACGGAGTCATACGCTCAATGCCGTGGCGACGCTTGTGCGCGTCCATCACGTCCTTATCGGTGGTGGAGAATGGGCAACTGAGGCAACGGATCGTTTCCGCATCGGCCTCACCCGTTGCGGAGATGATACCCTTCTTCTGCATCAGTAGCAGACTCTGCTTATCCTGATTAGAAGGTTGCAACGTATTTGTGATATTGTTACCGGAAGATACAACAACGACAGACGATCGCGAGGATTTGCGCGATGAAGACGCGACAGTTACGTCGGCGATACTGTCGCTGTCCACGGAGATCCGATCATCCTCAAACTGTCTGCGCGATGCTTGCGCTTCCGCATTTGCCTGATGCTTTTTTAAATGTTGTATAAAATTTGCGTAGTATTTGACCGAATAGTCACATGTGTCACAGCGATATCGCTGCTTGGCGCCGTGTAGCGTTAGATGGACCCTGTACTGCTCGCGTTTCTCGAAAGCGGACGGACACTTGTGGCATTTGTAGCGTTTTTCCTTCAAACGGCCGTTCCGCAGATAACCTTGGTAGACAAAGTTGGGATTACCGCGCATGAAGATACCGAATTGCGGATCCGGTGGCGGTTGCACAGATAAGGCGGAAACGGAAGAGGTAGCTATAAGGGTAGTCGACGGTGTCGTTGCTGTCGTTTCGTCGTCGATTTCGTTGTGTCGTCGATGTACCACCTGATGCTTTACGAGGTTCTGTGTTGTTTTTGACGAATAGTCGCAATCGTTGCATTTGAATCGATTGTTCGAACCATGTAGAGTCATGTGGTACTCTAAGGCATCTAGCCTGAAATAGCGCGCTGGGCACTTAGCGCACGTAAATACTTGATTTCCTCCAGTCCTTTGAACGGTCGACACGGCGCTGCTGTTTACATTTTCATTGATCTCGACGACGATCCATGCAACGTTGGGCGCAGAACTATTGTTACTCTCCTGATTCGCCGCTGCCTCTACGCACGCTGTCGCAGGTGGCGGATAACGTTGCGAATGCCCGTACAGAGATAACAAATACTTGGTGCGTTCTTGATACTCGCTCGAATGCGCCTTTTGATGAGCCAACAGATGCGTTGACTGACGCGCCGCGTATGAGCACCATTGGCACGAATGCGCTAGTTCTGTGGTATGATAGCGCAGGTGAATGCGCAATTCCTTCTCACATAGGAATCGTGCCGGACATTTGCCGCAACAATGCACCAAACGAGAGTCGTGCAAGTCAGGTTCAGTGCCCAATACTGGGGTATGCGTCAAGCCGAGTAGAGTGGCTAGATCATTCGCCTGTTGAGAGTCGGGCCGTGTCTCATCCACTAGACAGTGAACAGTACCCAAGGATCCTGCGTGCATCTCCGTATGCGCGATCATAATTTCCCGGCGCGCGCAGGTGAAGCTACAATCCGTACAAGCAATCAAAGGACCGTGAGCCGGTGTATCTACGTGCATCGTCTCGTGGTCGCGCACTTCTGCACGACGCGATGAGACATAGGGACAATGACGACACTTGAGCATCTTTGTTAACGTGCCATCTGGTCGCGATACCCAAACGAGCGGAGCATCTGGAAGAGCGCGGGTATCTAGGAGAAGCGACGGTGGTGGTGGCGGCGGTGGAACTACTCCCGACGCAGACTTTGAAACCGTCGTTACATTATTACGCGACGTTATCTGAATCACTTGTTCTACAGATGTTTCGTTCTTTGTTCGAGATATGCCTGTGAAGAAATATTTTAAATCGCGATGAGTATTCGAAATATAATGTTTCGATTTGCAGGTGCAATTTATGAAACTTACCGACGTCGGAAATTGACACTTGTTGTAATTTATTCTTCGAATTTGGTGAATCCATCATCATGTTTTGCTGATGAATAGATGCCAACTCTTCCCCGTGAAGTCTAGCGTGTTCCAACAGTTCTCTGTGACAATAAATAGAGATTGTGTTATATATATTAGAATATCACTTTTTTTAATATTTTGCTTTACATAAAAAACTAAAAGTTAGTGCGCACTTTTTAATATTAAAGAAAACAATTAACTAAATAATTGATATTTTAAAACACTAAACTATTACTCGAGATTAAAAAAAAAGGTTCATGTTCATAAAATGCATTGTCAGCGACACATACGCCTTTGTACTAACGTAGTATGGACAAAGATAGCATTTGAATATAGCTTCCAAGTTTGGTCGATGGTGCATCTTATGAAGAGATAGAGTCGCAGCGTCTGATGCTGAAAAGGGACAAACCCCACAATCAAATGGATCCTGCGAAAAAAAGAAAATAGCGCATTAAATTCGATTTGGTTAAATTCGATTTAGTTAAACAGATGTAAAGATATAAAGATTAAAAGCAAGAGAGAAGAATATTTCTTATTCTTCATCAACTGTTGTATTTAATAGTATTGTTTCGCTTATATTATTTAATTATCTGCACAACTATTGCACTTAAATCTTTTTTCTTTTTTCAAAGCACTCGTCATTCGTCAGGTGGAATACTTAAGTATGAGTACGAGCGCTTTACGAGCGCTTTACGAGCGCAAGAAATAAAATATAATTGGTAGTAAAATTTACCCTTTCTTCGGTGGGCTCTTGATCAGTAGAATCGTAATGAGACTTAACGTGCAACAAGACAGTGTCTTTATTAAAATCTCGAAAATTGCAACGTTTACACTTCCACTGAATACGTTTGTTTTCCTCTGTCGCTGTTGATATAGAGAGCGCACCGCCACCACTAGTGGTATGTATCGTGATTGGATTGTTCTTCAGCAGAGACTGTCCACGACTCTTCACTGCAGCTTTAAGTGCTGGTGGAGGTCGCAAACTCACGTCCACGTTATGACCGTTCTGATTCGCCTCGCTCGACGGCAAGATCGTGACGGGAGATTGCGACGCGAGATCAATCGTCGGAACGTACTCTTTGTTGTCTACAATTAATAATTTTGTCGAGGCAAGCTCCTCAGAGTTTGTTTCCTCTATGCTACGTTCCTCCATATGATCCTCATCCCACGGTTGTTGTTCTACCTGAATCACAGAAATCATTGCGCCGTGAATTTCGAATTTAACGAGATATGAATCGAATGTAATAAAATACATGAAATATGCTATGAAATATTATCATCAAACTACATCTACGCTGAAAATTTTGTATCGCATTCTTAATGAAAAATCAGTTTTGTTTTTTACATAAGTAATAATATACATAATTTACATAATAGATTTTTATATAATTTTCAAAAATATCTAAAGTTCGTTCATAAGAAAAGATAGAATAGATATTTTCCGTTTATAATTACTAAGAATATGCTTATAATGAGTGTCAATGTCAATCAAGGCGTTTAAGCGCCGTGGCCGAATTGTGGTGCCGAGATTCTGTCATCTCTTTCGCAAGTCAAATTATTGCATATTAAATTACTATGCTCGATATGATATAAATCAATGAATTATTCTATTATGTAACTATTAAGATTCATTATTTCACCTGTGCGAGATATTTGTTATACTTGGAATAATTCCGTCGACCTGTCTCATCCGTCATGAGCACTCTGGCGGTCGTATGCACTGCGTCTTTAGCTGCTTTAAGTTTAATATGTTTTGTGATGTCCCATCGCCAGTTAGAACGATACGCGCACATAGAACACTCGAACGGCTTCCGGTTTAAATGACCGACTATATGAACGTGAAAGCGACTTGCGGTGGAAGCCCAAAACGGACAATGGGGACATTTGAATACTCGCCGCCCGCTCGGATGTGTCGGACCACCTTCAACCTGATAAAAGTTTTTTTTTATCGCAACAAACTTAAAATGTCAGTAATGACATGATAATGAACTAGTAACAAACTAGAAGAGAGATGCTCGACATCCACTATGCAATATGTAAAGCACATTCTTAATAATAAACGAAGAGAAAAAAAAATAAGGCTCTAATCAACATTCTCTAATCAACATTTCGCGATACACAGACTTCTGCACACCTCTATGATATATGCTTTACCAACACTAGCACTAATAGTATTACAGACTTTTAACTATTTTACAGAAAATATAAATTATAAAATACATGGCTAAAATGAATATTTACATAGCGAAAAAAAAAAATTTGCTTCACATAGAATTCCTATAAAAACGCCCGTGTCCCACAAACAACTGCTTTATATGACTTTGCGATGATGATTTCCGTAGAGAATCGCGATATCTGTTTTGCGTAATAATTTTCTTATCACATATACATAGATCATTATCATCAAGCACTGTACCGAAGATCCAGAAGAATTTAGTCCTCTGAGATTCGCGTCCCAATCCATTTGCGATGGAAAAGTGTATTCACCACGATAAGACGAGGTCATGCGGACGTCCGAACAATTGGTTACTTTCTCTAAACTACTATCGATGAACGATGATGTGTCGTTGCGCGAATGGCAGCATTGCATGTGCACTTGAAGATCAGTTGTACTCTTGCAACGTCTTCTACACTTAGGACAACGTGTCGTACCCACGGATACACTGAGCGCAGTGTGATGTGTTTGTCTGTGGCAAGCTAGCTCCTCCATGCTACTAGCTTTAAACGTACACCAGCATTTCAAATTGTTGTCGCTACTTACAGCTACCTCTGGCACGCTGTTATTATTAATCGACGTCGCCGTCGTCGTTAGTTTTTCCTTAAGTTTATCGAAGAAGGAAGCGTTTTTTCTCTCAAATATACCGGCCGCAGTATTAAGGTCCCTCTTCGAATTCGCAGCCTGAAAAATTAAATGACAGATATAGTAATAAGATAAAGATATATTCTGTAATAAAAGTATAAACAATATATCTTAACTATTTATGTATATCACATTCACGTTCCATACATAACAAGCAAATTTTTTTCACGCAACCAACCTCTTTATTTCCATACATTTTGGCCAGCTCTGTATCCCTCGCAATTTGCGCTAGCTCGGGCCTCACTCTGACTCGTGGAACTTTTAGCAGAGTGGTGGGTGGTCCACTACTACTATTGCCAATCGGGCTATTATTGGGCTTAGAATTAGCTAAACTTAATGGAATTAATCGTGGCAGTGGTTTCCTTGGCTTGGGTGGCGCGTGACATTCCGCTAAATGACGCTGCATCTCGGAATCCCAAGCTGTTATAAATTGACAGCCCTTTTCTTCGCATTTCAATGCAATGCATTCGGCACTGGCTAGAGCGCTTCTCTTATCGTCTAACGAAATTAACGAATGATCCGATACAAACGAATCGGTAGAGTTGGCCGATGTGGTTGTACTTCCAGTTTTATTGAACGATGCTCGAAAATCACTGGCTCCAACCTAACAGAAATATCAAACGCTATTTAATACAACTGATCGATGCATTTAAACAGAGAAAGAATATAACAATATGCCTTACGTTACCTGATTATAACGTTTCGGACTATTTCGTGGCTTACGTTCAAAAGCATTATTACTTTTGCGGTTGATATGACCCACAGGTGGGTTGTGATGATACGACTCATGCACCGTTAAGCTCTGACGGATATCAGCGGTAAAATTACAAGCGCGACATTTGAAAGCACCTCCACCTCCATGATTCCGCATGTGTCTTTCTAGATTCCACTGAAAAATAGCGTTAAAAGAGACACACATATAATCAATATAGATATAATCTTAAAGTAATCGCAAGCTTCTCTCCGTAATCCTGGAAAATTTGTGACGTATAATCACTCATCTTTCGAAAACCAAGTAGGATTATGAAGAAACAAACCTTATACGCTGAACTAAAATCACAAGCATCGCACTTGATCATTGGCATAGAATGATATTTAACATGCTTAGTATAACGCGCTCTGATGTGCGTCATATAATCGCATTTTGCGCAGCGAAAGAATTTTCTTTTCAAATGATGCACTCTTTGATGATTTTCAAGATCTTTCACGTTCAATGTGACATACGAACACGCAGGGCAACGATTTTCGACTGGATTGTGTCCGTTTTTGCCCTAAAAATGACAATAAAACATATTCCTGCGAACTGATGAGTGTACTGTCTTGATATGTGAATGATTCACTTAATACGTCGTCACACTAGAGAAAATTGCGATCGTGTCTAGTAGTAACGCGTCGAGAATATTGCCTCGTTTCTTATCGCGTATTTCGCATTCTTTAAAAAAAAAGGAGGGAGGAAAGAAAAGAAAATGAGATAAGAAGAAAAAAAAAGAAAAAAAGAAGGAAAGAAAGAAACGAACACGAGAGCGCAAAACGGAGACACAATCGAGGATACGAATCCGGACGGGAGAGGAACAGCCGTTCCCTGATGGCGCTCACCTTGTACTTGTGCTCCTTTCGGAGATGCTCGAAGTAGGCCTTGATATCGGACAGCATTTTCGGGGGTTTGCAGCTCTTGCACTCGTAGGAAGCCTGCTCGGTCGTCTCTTCCTCGGATCTCATCTCGATGTCAACGTCAACGACATCATCCGGGGTCGCCTCTTGGTTCGCCTCGTCGGTGATGGCGGTCATGGTCACCTCTTCCTCCTCATCGTCGTCATCGTTGTCGTCGTCGACGTCCATTTCGTTCGCCATCGCATTGCCCTCCATATCGGTCGTCTTCCCCGCATCTTCGGTCTTCTTCTCCTCCTCCTCGTCGCATCTCTTCGCGTCAAGCTCCTCCTCGCGACTCGCTGCCCCTTTAAGGTTACCTTCCGATCTGCGCGTCGCGTCCGTCCTCGTCCGTTGCTGCCGCGACCGCGGTCGCAGTGCCCGCAACCGGGGCGGCCTTCCCGACATCTTGGACGAGAGTCGCGCGCTTCCGCGCAGATTTCTTCTCTCGCCCTTGTTGCCCGCCGCGGGCAACATGGCGCGCGAGGAACGATTATTATTCACCAGTATCTAGGCGCTCGCGCGTTCGTCGATCGTCGTCATCCTCGGATTCGGCGGTCTCCGACTCCGGCTGCGGCTCCGGCTTCCGGCGACGACGATCACCTCCTCGCCTTCCGGCGACACGATCGCGGGACGAATGTGGCACGGCGCTCTCGTCGCCTCCTCCAACGTCCACCCGCCTCGCGACGCTCGCTTTAGCGCGGAGCGATTAAAGAGCCTTGCCTTATCGCGATCCGTCAGCGTCAGCGCTCCCGTTCCCGTTCCCGTCGATCGTCCGGCTACTGGCTCGCTCTTCTTTCCATCGTCCTCCGAGACTCATCGGCCGACGTGTGGCTGCAACAAATTCCGGTTTACATTACGGCCCGAGCGGATATGCGTGCGTGCGCTAATGCGTACGTGCGCGCGCGCGAGCGCGGACATCCATCTGTGCCGAGAGGCACGAGGAGGAAGAGATCTAGACGCACTTCGATGGCGAGCTGCCCCGGAGTCGCTCTTTCTCTTTTTTCTTTCCCTATCGACGAAGATTCGTCTGAAGCCTCGAGGGAATGATTCTCCTACCCCCTTCTCTCTCTCTCTCTCTCTTTGTCTTTGTCTTTCTTCCACCTCGCGTTTCGGATCTATGAGCCGTGTCTCAAGAGCGCTCGATCGTTACTCGGCGCTCGGTAAACGAGGAGATCCCTGGCCCCTATCGCGTGGTGCGCGATATCGCAATAATATCGCCAAGTGCCAAATCACGCAACTTTATATCATGCGCGGTGAACGTTCGGAGCCTAAACTCGGGGCCTCTCCTTCCCTCTTCCCCCCCCCCGCGATCTCTGCGATTCTCCGGGTTACATCGAGAAATCCCTTTATCTCTCGAATAAAGCCCGCTTACCGTGCTCCGTTCAAAGTACACGCGGAAAAATGTGCGTTCCTCTCGCTCCAAGCGCGGAGGAATTCACGCTTCTGTATGGCTGGACGAGATAATTTTTCACGCGCCCACACTTTGCTAGCCATTTATCGCCGCGCGAATGAACGATAAACATGGCCACGTCTTTGACATCGATGCCGAATCGTCCCCGATTTATTATTATTATGATTGACGCCATTCGATTAAATAATTTCTCTCGCGAGACTTTTTTTTTCCGAGACGCTCTTTCCATCCGACAGGAAGTAAAAACCACGGACTCGGACGGAGACGCCGCGAGAAAGCAGTCAGCTGATCGCCAGAGGGACGGAATTAATGACTGATCATTTGAAGAGAGCCATTATTGGCTCGCGATTCGCGAGCAGATCGAATTTAGCAGCTAAAGTGGCTTTCACGGCCGCGAGAAATCCCACGTCGCGCCACATGTGACGCCATGATTAATCCCGCGCCACTGACGTACGCGTTCTTGCTCGCGACGTACTCGCGGAGGAAACACGTCATCTCGTTAACTCGCTTGCTCGAGAATTCGCCCGATATTAAAGTCCAGAGAAGCGTCGTGGAAGCTTTGTCCTTTGTTCTCCTTTAAATATTCTCGCGACATATATTTGGAAAAATTAAAATGGCAATTATATCGAGGAGAAATTATACGCATCGCGTACAAATATTTATTTATATTTACATCGCGATATATCTTAGAAAAATTTTATCCGTTAAACAACCTGAAAAAAATACTGTAGGAATATATACTTTGAACCTTGAGTTTTTTTTTTCATTTTTAAATTTATTTTAATCGTTACAGCTACTTCGCGCCCTTAAAAATTGATACCGAAATTGACGTAAAATTGAGAAAAATATTACATCGAGAGTCCGCGAGGTCCTGAATTTCGGAGGGAATTAATTTCAATTCGCAATGTCGAATAAAATATTAAGAAGAATTACTTCAGGGGGCCTGCATTCGCGTTCGACTTTAGTCTCTCATCCCGACAACATCCGGTAGAGAGAAGCGTGGGCGGAAATAGACAGGACGAGTCGGCTCGGAAAACTCAATGGGCGCTTGTTTACTCGATTCGTGCGCGCGCGCACGCAATATTGGGACGACGCGGAGAAATCACTGTCGGGTAAACCAATGACAACTCGAATCGTAATAAACCTTGAATGATTCGCTCGAATAACGGTGATGGCATCAGTCGCGAACTCCGATGATTTAAAAATTGACGATAGGATTGCCAGACTAGTCACACGGAATCAATTGGGCGGCCATCTTGCGAGGCTACGGTTCTTCGAGATCGGGAGGGAGGGGGATTCTAGGATCTATCATCTGCCATCGCGCGACGTGTTGCTTTCTATTTCCCTCGTACGCACGTTGATATACGCTCGTCTCGATCATCAACAGGGAATTGATACTCGCATAATCAAACGTGATTAATCGTATTAATAAATTGTACGATTGTCACGCTGATTAAAACGATTAATCGTATCGCTATTATATCGCCGGCAATAGATACAATTGTTGGCAACACGATGCAGCAAACTCACAGACAACTGGCCATCTGGGTGACGTCGCGGATCTAATAACGCGAGCCGGAGCGATCGGGCGCTTGATCGGAAACAAACCTTCGTTCACCTGCGCCACCGTCTGCGAGTCTTTCGCGAGTAGGTTATCTTGCTATCGGAGACGATCGTGGTAGAGCGAGCGATGACGACGCTGACGACGTCGCGTGACGATTAGTGTCGCGTCATCGGCAACGATCGGCCAATCGACGAGAGCCCGGGAGGATTCCCGTCGTGGCTAATCGCCACGTCCGTCCGTCCGTCCGTCCGTCGATCGCAAGGTATCGGATGTTCCGTTTCTCGAAAGTCTCAACGGCGACAAAATAAAAGAGAGAGCCTCCTCTTTGGCTCCCCTTAGACTTCCCCACCTCTCGATTCTCCCTATCCCTCCTCTCTCTCTCTCTCTCTCCCTTTCTCTCTCTCTCTCTCTCACTCCGCTCCGACTCTCGCGCTCTCGAGCTTCTTCCGTTCTCTCCGGCTTCGATCGCGAATACCTCTCGTCGTTTCGGCATCAACACTGGCCGATGGAGCGGACAGCGGATCGTAGGAAGACTACGAGGAGCCGAGCGAGCGCAGTCCCTTCCCTCCCTTTCCCCCTTCTGCCGCGCCCGCGGTCGACTCGACTGGCAGCGGCGGCAACGACGGCGACGGCGGCGATGGCGAGGTGGCTAGTGGCGCAAGGCTGGGCGCCATCTGCAATTCCAATTCCGACGTCGGGAGGAGATTCGCGAGGCCGGGAAGAAGCCTCTTGCTCTTGGTCGCTTTCCCTCTACCTGCGGTCTCTCCTCCTGCGAGAAAAAACGGCTTTCCGAGAGAGCGGATGTCGGAAAATCAGCATGATGATGATGACGTCACTTTCTACCGATGACCTTTAATTATGTAACAGATCCTATCGTGTATATAACTTTGGAATGATACCAGAGTATGCTTGTTTCTTTTTTTCAGCCCAATCATAACGCGATCCTCTTCTGTCCTGTCTCAGATCCAGTTTTCTCTCTTGGGAAAGGTCTTTTGTCTTATTTCTCGAGGAGGGATATCTTTGTCCCACGTCCAATTTTTACTTCGAAAAGATATCGTACTTTCGCCTTTGAAGAGATGTCGCAATATTATTTCGATTCCTCCTCGCGTCTTTCGCATTCTTCGTTTATCTCTTAAAAACGAGCTACACTCGGAACGATGTCGACGTGCGAGAGCATCTCCACGATCCTCATCGTCAATTTCAGATTCACGCTGACGATTTATTCATTTGATTGGCAAATGGATTCGTTTTTTGGAGTTTCGAAAGCCGTTTTTTTTAGGCTTCAATGTCGATTTTTTTCCAGCAAAAATGTAGGGAGAATGTCATCGTTTCGCAAGTCTTCGATTTTCTCGAATACACGATAGAAACGAGGATAAATAATAGTCGATCATGAAGGACATTTTTCCGTATAATTATTTCACAAATAACTCTCTTAATTTGTATTATTGTTGCAGCATATAATTGTAAAGGATTGACAATCGAGTATCTGGTTTGTGTTACCCCTTGGAGAAAATATTTACATCTTGCATTTTCGGCTTCTATTTTAAAGAAATTATATAGTGCGTCTCTATATATTCGTATTTCGCATTTTTTTGCGAACCAGCACGCAGCAAGATCTCTTTGAGCGAAGCGTGTTACGCTATAACCACGATATTGATGCAAACTAGCAGGGCGGTTACGCAAACACGTGCTTGTAAAACGCGTGCACGTGCGTGCGTATGCGTCACACGCATTGAGGACACTCCACAAAACCAGATATACGCGTACATTAAATGCAAAAAAATATACAAAAACATGATTAGTTGCATTAATTCATGGCCATTTAACTTTTCCTCCTGTAATTATTCATTGCAATGCCAAGTATTTCTTACTGTCTCGCTAAATTAGATGTAGCCAACATTGTATATTTTGCGGAATAAAATAGATTAGTTAATCTTATTCCGATCCATCTTTTTTCTTAAAGTAAAAGAGAGCGATCTCTTACGTACAAAATGCTAACCGAGGTTGACATCTTCTCTTAAAGAGAGCTCGAGCAAAGTGTAGATAAATATGTAGATTAAAATAAGTCGATGCTCGAGAACTTATCGTTAGTCTGAGATATACATGCAAAGTCGATGAATTATCATTATTAAGTAAAAGCAACTGTGCAACGAATATTCTATGTATTTATATGATTGGCGGAAATAAATTTTGGCAGATTGTATAACGCAAATCCTTTTCTACGAGTCTATATTTTGCTCTCTGTTGATAAAATCATCGAAAATTATATATCGATAATGCAGACCGTCTGCTAATATATTTCACGGTCATTTACCGTCGGTTGATATATGCGATATGAATATGCGATTATGTAAAAAAAAAGATTAAAGTCAAAGTTGCTTATAATGTATGCATAATTTATTAAGGTTTTCAAAGGTCGATAAATTCAATGTTTCTGAATCAAAGAGAATGAGTTTCTATGACACTGATCAAAGTCATTCTCTACATTTTGATATATTTCACATTAAAAAGATTGAAATCATTGTTAAAATATTTCTATTTAATTTTTTTGATTTGAGAAATTTAACATCTGCTTTTTCTATAAAAAATTAAGAACTCTAATTATTCTAATTATTGGAAACATTATTGTGTTAATTAAAATCCACCTCGAGATTTCTTTGCTTTGACTGTTCTAATTTGCGATATATTATTTACCGATGTATATAAAAAATTGTGATTTACATTATCGCAAATCACTAAGAAAAAGAATCCATGTAAAAATTTCACAATATATATATGTGTACAATAAATTGCATTATATTTAAATTATCGAAAAACCGTGAATCTCTTCTCATTATTTTCATAGAATTATATTATTTCATTGAACTCCGACTTTTCGATGCATAATATTCCGTAATCGTTTTTACGTAAAGTTAAGTTTAGCAACAGTTAACTGATATAGTTTTTTTGATAATGAGGCTGTTATTTGTAATACGATAGATCGCGTGATATTATTTCTTATTTAGATAATTATGTCAAATTCTTGATACAAGAATTAATATTTAGACATATTTTGGGAATGCAATTTAATCGCTTAATATTATGTAAGAGAAATATATAAAAAATTTAAAGCAAAAAGATTCTTGTATCCTCAAATAAAAAAATAAAAAATATATATAATTATACAAATAATATATATAATTAAATATATATAATTTCTTTAAGTAATTTAATATGTAATTTTTTATAATTTCTTTAAGAAATTTATTTTCCACAATTTAAAGTTATTAAACTCTTTTAATATCGAACGATTATGAATTGCATTACTCATATCAACGCATGTAAAATGCGTTTTATGATTTTAAAAAATTTATTTAAAAATTTATACAATTGTATATATATTTTATATATGTAACCAACTAGTGTACTAAAAGAATATATAAATTTTTTAAAATATCGCCCAAAATATCGACGATAATTTGAATACAATCGCATATATTAATATCTAATAATCGATTTAATAATAACGAAAATGAACGAATCTATCGTTTTTACTTTGTCAAACTAAAAAATTCTAAAATTTTTCATTATCAAATATTGTTACTTTGCGTATGTTTGCGTCTTTTATATTTTTATTGCATAAAAATCGGTACAAAAGATGCAAACACGAAAACAATAAAAATAATCAATTCGATTTCGCATTTTATGAAAGAAGCAGTAATCTCATCAACATTTCTAAATCAAGTACAATTATAATGCATAGCACGAAACTGATTTGATTATGGCAACAAAAAATCTTTATGTATACACATATAAAATGTAATTATATAACTATATAATATATTTATATTGAAGCCTTCATTTTCCCGTAACCATACAAAAAAAGGATTACTTTTTTTCTTTTGTTGAATGTATACTTAATATTTGGCTTGTAGACTCGTACATTCTTTATGAGTAACGAGTCATATATTAAGCTGCTTTTTCAGATTGTCGGCGAGCTTGTTCATAAACTCGAAAGTCTCCAAGTAATCAGCCCTAGTGACATTATTCATACCCTTGATGCATATGGCGAGATCCTTGGTGAAGAAACCAGATTCGATGGTGTCTATGCAGACTTTCTCCAGTGTTTCAGCAAAGTGTCGTAAAGGCTCGTTATTATCGAGTTTGGCGCGATGCAATAGTCCGCGAGTCCACGCAAAGATGGAAGCAATCGGGTTTGTGGATGTCTCTTTGCTCTGCTGGTGTTGACGGTAGTGACGGGTGACGGTGCCATGGGCAGCCTCGGCTTCGATCGTGCGACCATCCGGACATAAGAGAACCGAAGTCATCATACCTAAGGAACCATAGCCTTGAGCCACCGAATCCGATTGCACATCTCCGTCGTAGTTTTTGCACGACCATACGAAACCACCCTCAGACTTCATAGCGTACGCCACCATGTCGTCGATCAATCGATGTTCGTACCATATTTTCTTCGCTTCGAATTGTTGCTTGTACTCTTTATCGTAAATCTCCTGGAATATGTCCTTGAAGCGTCCGTCATATTTCTTTAGAATCGTATTTTTTGTAGACAGATAGAGGGGATAATTTCGCGATAGCGCATATTGGAATGAGCTATGAGCAAATGCGCGTATGCTCTCATCGGTGTTATATTGAGCCTGAGCGATACCGGGACCCTTAAAATCGTGGACAGTGTGTTGGATCTTTTCGCCGGAAGCGCCGGTCCATGTGATTTCCAGCTTGCCTGGGCCTGGTACCACGAAATCCGTTGCTTTGTACTGATCGGCGTGCGCGTGTCTGCCGATAATGATCGGTTCCTTCCAACATACCACCAGCCGCGGTATATTTTTGCATATAATCGCCTCGCGAAATACCGTACCGCCCAGGATATTTCTAATGGTACCATTAGGACTCTTCCACATTTGCTTCAGATTGAACTCCTCTACACGTTTTTCATCGGGTGTAATAGTGGCGCATTTGATGCCGACGTTATAACGCTTAATTGCCTCAGCGCATTCTACCGTCACATTGTCGTTTGTGGCATCGCGATTTTCGATACCCAAGTCGTAAGTATGCAGCTCAATGTCTAAGTAGGGCAATATGAGTTTCTCCTTGATCGAATCCCATATGATGCGTGTCATTTCATCTCCAAGAATGTCGACAACTGGGCCTGCCTAAAAGTTATATATAGTATTAAAAAAGTCCTTGCATTTTTTAAAAGACAGTTTTTTTCAAGATAATTTCTTAAAAGACAATTTTTTCAGATCAATCTTGCATAAATATTAAATTAAAAATAATTATAAAAATAAGCATATCTCAAGATATTGCGTTATATTTATCTAAAGTCTAATATTTAAAGAAACTCGTTTATTTTTCACTAAATATAATATATATCAAGGGATATCCTGTTTTTGATAATAAAATTTATATAATTTTATTGAGTTGAGAAATATCGATAATCAAAATTGAGCAATCTCGAAAGTATAAAGTCCACTTTCTCCTGCATTAAAAAGATTATCGCAATTTATTAATGTACTCTTCTCTTCCCCCTCCTCTTTACTTCGGATGACATATCACTTTCAAGCAAGAACTTGTAGCAACTCTCTTACCTTTATTTTCGCCATTGTCGTAAATGATGCACCGAGTGTTTTTACGAGCGATTCTGCCGACGAGGGATTTTGTAGCAGGTGACGACGATTAAATTCTCGAGCGAGCAACAATCGCGACGACGATGTGACACTGTAACTGGCTAACTGTAACGAGCGTACTGTCTTTATAAAATATTCGCACGGCTGGAGGATACGGTGGGGCGTGAGCATGGCAGCCTTAAATATGTGTACACCCACCTCTACCTATATACTTTTTACTGCCCTCCGCTCCGTCCTTTCCCCACCTTCGTCGTTGTCGTCCTCTTTTTCTTCTTCTTTAGACCGCACGCGTTTTTTTATCGCGTAAACGCGACTATTAGTGATAATAGTTTAGAGTAACTTACGAGTTTAGATAACTCGAGAGGAGATAACTGGAGTCTTATCTCGTGAAAAAAATTGCACCAGTCATGAGGTTTTAACTCTGATTACGTAAATCCAAACAAAAAATTTGTAAACTAAGTTTACTAGCTCAGACTTTGAATTAAACGAGACGAGTCTTACCGAAGAGAATCGCTAACTGACATCGAAAAGAGACATACCTTTTATCTTGGAATATGTAATCAGAATATTTACCGAAGATGTAAACACATGTATGTTATGTTCCCGTGAATCTACCAGCATTTGCTCGCGAGTTCAAATCTTACAAGTCGATTGCCCCGAAACAACACTTACCTTATTGTCATTATTTTCACATCTCTTTGTCCTGCGATAAAAAATAAATACAATATAAATATGCGATCTCCGACTGTTTATTTTGAAGTGGTACCGCGTTTAGTACCGCGGCCATATTGAATGAGTTCGAATTTCGAGCGTATTCCTCAGGGCGCATTCACATCTTGGCAGAAAAGCAGAAAGCCAATCAAAACTCGCGCTGATAATAAACAGTGCGTAAGCAGTACATTAGACAGGCAAAAAGTAGGAATTGGGTACTTCCCGATTCACGCATGATGCGCATGAGATGACAGAAAATGTATAATATGCGTGACATGAACTATATATTTTCTGTCATTTCATGCGCATCACGTGTGAATCGGAAAGTATCCAGTGCGGGTTCTGATTGGCTTATGCTCTTCTGCTTTTCTGTCAAGGTGAATGCGTCTTAACACCTCTTATCATCTATCACCTCTCATTCTTTCGCTGGTACCGTACCGAACAATACAAAAAGACAGCTGATTCAATTGAGAGGTTCTATGGAAGCACTTTTTTTATTATATTTTTGTATTAATCAGAGTAATAACGTGTAATCAATATTTATTAATATAATCATCATGAGTGAGAATAATGTATTAAATTATTAATTTAAAAAAGATAAAAAACCGATAAATAAAACTAATTATTATATTGAAAGTTATCGGTAATGAAAAATTTTCGACATTGACATAATTAATTCGAAAATTATTACTTACGAGAAATTAATAAGATGATATTATCTTAATAAGAAAAATAAATTTTACACGAAGATGGCAAATCCTTCAATGAACACGGGACAAACGTACTATTGGACTCAGGAGCATATGAAGTATTATCCAGTACCTCCAGTGCCAAATTTTCCACCGCCTAATTACAATCAACCACCAAATTATAATTTGTCGTACAATGTTCCTCCTCCTAATGTAGCCGATGTTAAATCGCCAAACTCAATGTATCAATTTGCACCTCCTACTTATCATGATGGAGCGACCAATTTTTACAACAATGTTCCTTATCAAAATCAAACAGACCCACAGTACAGTAGTCAATATTATGACAAAACAGAAACTGCGCAGCAATTTGTGAGTGAAAATTATACAAATTGGGACAGAAGAGACATGTATGATAATAATACTGATAACGAGTGGCGTTCTAATAATTCTACTATAAATTGGACATTGCATCAAAATATACCTAATTCTTCTATCTATGATTTGAGTAAGATATATAATGATAGCGAGAGAATATGCTCGGCACAAAGATACGAATTGTTGCAAAGAAATAAAGAGCCTGAATGGAAATACGACGATAGGGAAACCTTGTCTAATCGTACTAGTAGTAAACAAAGATCTAGAAGCCCAGAAGGTAGACTAGAGAAAGTATATAGATCACGATACGATGATCGCAGGGACAGATATCGTCAATACAACAAGGACATATCTAATTTACGAGAGCCTACATATGACAGTGGTTATTTTGAGAGGAGGTCTTCATATAAGAAGCATGAAAGTTATACGTCTCGTTCAGAAGGATCTTATACAAGAAGTAGAAGTAGAAAGAGATCAAAATCACGGGAATCTCGTTCGACCCGAGATACAACTCCTATCAGCTCTAAACGAACAAAGGGTCCTACTGAGAGAGAATTACTTTTAGAAAAATATAGGTAAGATTTATGCACATATAATTTTTCAATAAAGGTTCAATAGATACAGTCTCGATTTTTATTATGCAAATGTTTGTTTTTTGTGCAAAAATCATATTTATAAGGTAAGAGACTTTACTAATTGTAAAATATTTTTATATCTTTCAGACGTAATTATTGTGCAACAAGTAAAGATATAGAGCGAAAGTTGAACGAATTATCAGCAATGGGATCAGAAGGCATACTTGAAAGTGAGAAAAAGATTTGGACTCGCACGGCACCAGCGGATCTTTATTATTTCAGAGACGAGAATAATCCAAAGATAATGAAAAGTACTGTCAAACTACAAGAATTATGTGTGACTTTTAAGAAATTATTAATTGACAGAGCAACCGAAGCAAGGGCATTACAGGTACATATATATTCTCCTTAATTGTTTTAATACAATGCAATTGATTCTCTCTTTTTAATTTGTTTAGCCACCTTATGATCCACCTCCGAGAAAAACTAGAGCACGTCTTTGTCGTCATAAATCTGAAGCTTGTAGTAGCTCTTCATCTGATAGTGACAGTTCTATGGATGAGGATGATAGGACAATGGAAGAATTAATGGCAAAGAAACAGCATCCACAGAGATTGCATCCTGAAATGTGGTTCAATGATCCTGGAGAGGTAATCTCGAGAATTATCTCTTTTCTTTTTTTAAAAAATCTACCCATTAGACATTTAAGAATATATTTATAAATTTTTCCTAGATGAATGATGGTCCGTTATGCAGATGCAGCGCGAAATCACGACGGTCAGGCATAAGACATGGAATTTATGCCGGAGAAGGTGCAATAAATAAGTGTGATTTGAATATGAATAATGCGGACAAATTGTATCACTATAGAATAACAATTAGCCCACCGACTAATTTCCTCACTAAGACACCGACGATTATCAAACACGACGAACACGAATTTATATTCGAAGGTTTTTCTATGCTCTCTCATTTTCCACTGGTCAAATTACCAACGTGTAAAGTCATACGATTTAATATCGAATATACAATTCTCTATATAGAAGAGAAATTGCCAGAAAATTTCACGATACAAGAATTGGATTACTTTCGTAAGTAGTACTATATTTTTTTAAACACGATATTTTATTTTATCGCGCTTATTTTGAGTATAACATTATGAATTTTTACAGAGATGTATCTATTCAAAGAAATTTTGGAGCTTGTAGATTTTGATTTACATGCAGCACAAGATAAATCTGGCTGTGGACAGTTCCATTTTATGCCAAGATTTGTACGTGATTTAGCTGATAATGGTCAAGAAATCTTGTCGATGAATGAAGTCCTAAATTATTTGATAAAGAGTAGTACTCTTCTAATAGATCCAGATGATCTACCTAAATTGGTGGCGATGCCACAATACAAATGGCAAGATTTCGCGGACGAGGTGAAGGGAATGGTTGTGACTTATCCGGGGAAGAAACCGTGTAGCGTTCGTGTCGATCAGCTGGATAGAAATCAAGTGGACCAGCCACCCGGCGTTACCGCTTATCCTGAGATAGTACATTTTGGTATCCGTCCACCACAACTTAGTTATGCTGGAAATGCAGAGTAAGTAATCATTTATTATGAATATATAAAATGTGTCATATTTATTGCGAAAATATGATATTAATATAACATATATATATATATATATATATATATATATATATATATATATATAAAGTTTAATATAAAAGATTTGTCAAATAAAGTTGAATCCCAATCAATTTAAAATCATATGTCCTAATTTATATAATACAATAGTTATGTGCTTTGTTTTACATAATTATGTATAATAAATCCAAAAACAAAAAAATATTTTTTACTTAAAAATACAAAATTTTTTTTAGAAATGTTTCATTCTAAATAATACAAACATTATACAAAATTATATTTTAAATGTATCAAAAGTTATATTTTTTGAATACACATGATATATTAAAAAATTATAATACTATAAAAAATAATTCTTTATGAATTTATCCAGTTATCAAAAAGCATGGAGGGACTATGTGAAGTTTCGACATCTACTCGCGAATATGTCGAAACCTTCCTTTGAAGATAAGAGAAAGTTAGAAGCAAAGGAAAACAAACTTCAAGAATTACGTACCCAGAGTAAGATGAAACGCGATGTCACAGTCGATGTCAGCTCCGAAGGATTTTATAGAACTGGCATTATGTGTGATATTGTGCAGCATGCGATGTTGATACCGGTACTCGTCTGTCATCTGCGGTTTCACAAATCTTTGGACAATCTGGAACGCACGTTGGGTTACGAGTTTAAAAACAGATATCTGCTCCAACTAGCCCTCACACATCCCAGTTACCGTGAGAATTTTGGCACGAATCCGGATCATGCACGAAACTCTTTGACGAACTGCGGTATAAGGCAGCCCGAGTATGGCGATCGCAGAATCCACTATATGAACACACGAAAACGTGGAATCAACACTTTGATAAACATAATGTCCAGATTCGGTGCGAAAACGGAAACGGAATCATCCATAGCGCACAACGAACGGTTGGAATTTCTGGGCGATGCGGTCGTCGAATTTCTCACATCCATTCATCTCTTTCACATGTTCCCGGATTTGGAAGAAGGCGGTCTGGCTACTTATAGGGCGGCGATCGTACAAAATCAGCATCTTGCTGTGTTGGCAAAGAAATTGAGTCTCGAGGAGTACATGCTCTACGCACACGGTAGCGATCTCTGCCACGATCTCGAGTTGAGGCATGCAATGGCAAATTGTTTCGAAGCATTGATGGGCTCACTTTTTCTTGACGGAGGGATAGAAGTGGCCGATCGAGTTTTCGGAGAAACGCTTTTTAAAAGCGAAGAAGATCTTGCCAAAGTTTGGGTCAATTATCCGCGGCATCCTCTTCAGGAACAAGAACCGACGGGAGATAGACAATGGATTCCCAGTTTTGAACTACTACAGGTATGTATTATTCAGCATTTGAATAAGTACTATTCAATTGCAAGACGCGTTCTTAAACAGTCTCTCATTTTATCTCTTCTTATTTATCTCCTTTTAAACAGAAACTGACAAAATTCGAAGAATCAATTGGAATAGAATTCACTCACATCCGTCTCCTTGCTAGAGCGTTCACGGACCGTAGTATAGGATATACTAATTTGACCTTAGGATCTAATCAACGATTAGAATTCCTTGGAGATACTGTGCTGCAACTCATTGTTTCTGAATACTTGTACAAATTCTTTCCAGAACATCACGAGGGACATTTATCAGTAAGAACAGTATTGCTTGTAGTATTATTTGATCAAGTAATTTTTTTCTATTTCTAATTATAATATTTGTGTCACACAGTTGTTGCGGAGTTCGCTTGTAAATAATAAAACGCAAGCGGTTGTTTGTGACGATCTTGGTATGACTCAATACGCTCTTTACGGGAATCCGAAAGCTGAATTAAAGACAAAAGATAGAGCAGATTTATTAGAAGCTTTCCTTGGCGCGCTTTATGTTGATAAGGGTTTAAAATATTGTCACGTTTTTTGTGATGTATGCTTCTTTCCACGTTTACAAGACTTTATCATGAATCAAGATTGGAATGATCCAAAGAGCAAGCTGCAGCAGTGTTGCTTAACTTTAAGAACCATGGATGGTGGAGAGCCAGACATTCCTGTGTACAAGTAAGTTTTTAGTTTTTTGATAGAAAAACTTTTAAAATTGATATTAAACAAAAAAGAAATGCATTATAACATTAATTTATTATTATTTGATTAACCTAAAATACTGATATTATAAATTAACAGTGTATACGAATTTTATTTTTATTTTATTTTTATTTTATTTTTATTTTATTTTATTTTTATTTAATTTTACTTTATTTAATTTTATTTTTATTTAATTTTACTTTAATTGCAAATATCTCAATTATTGCTGAATATATATATATATATATATATATATATATATATATATATATATATATGTAATGAACCTAACTAAAGAATGTGTGTTTACAAAAAATATTTTCATAATTTCTTATAATTTTTTCCCACAGAGTTATCGAATGTAAAGGACCTACTAATACAAGGGTTTATACAGTTGCTGTATATTTCCAAGGGAAACGGTTAGCTAAGGCTTCAGGACATAGTATCCAAGAAGCGGAAATGAATTCTGCTAAAGAAGCTTTAGAAAAATCTCAAGGTATGCTAATAAATAAATATATACACACACACACAGGATAGTTTAAAACAGGATATTTAAAATTAACTTATCAATTTTTACAATTAATAATTAATTAATTATATAACATAAATATATATAATCAACCTTTGTGGGATAAAAAATTCGGTTGCCATTTTTCTTTTATAATTTCCTTCACAATTTTCTTAATTGTAAGAACTTTTAATTAAACTTTTATTAAAATATTAATAGAAATTGAACAAAGAATAAATCTTTTATCCATAAGATTTAATTCAAAAATTATTAAGATAAATTTTCTAAATTTCCATCCTAAGAAAAGTTTCATTGTATATTTTAATTTATAGAATATATCTTTGTAGTGTTTAAAATTTAATAGTTTAAGTTTTGGAATTATTATAGTTTTTGATTATTATTATTATCTCTTTCCATAGACTTATTCCCACAATTGGATCATCAAAAACGTGTGATAGCAAAAAGTATGAAAATGCAGCAATGGCCAAATAAACAGAAACCAAGAGGAAAATCGTCAAGGCCTAGTGAAAGATCTGACGATTCTGACTCGAGCCAAAACCGGAGAAGAAGTCATAGCAGGGAGCGTAATGCTTCAAAGAAAAGAGAAACTTAATTGTTTTTTTATATAATTCTTTTACAAGACTAAATCACAGTTTTTATTTCGACAGATAGAAATGCGCATAAAAACAAAATAAACTTCTTTAAACTTTTATTAAAATATTAATAAAAATTAAACAAAGAATAAATTTTTTATCCATAAAATTTAATTCAAAAATTATTAAGATAAATTTTCTAAATTTACATCCTAAGACTTCTATCCTAAGATCTTTATTACAGGTATATTATATGAGAAAATGAACTCTCCTTACATATCTCTTTAAAAATTATTTATTGAATCTTAAACAATAATTTTATAATAAATAATATTAACGTTAATATATTTTTATTGATTTAACAAGTTTGTTGAATTAAAGAAATACTCAGTGTTTTCATTGCATTAAAATTCTTCTTTATTCTCTTCCTGCTCTCTCATTTTATTATTAGCTGTTCAAAGATAATTCTCTTATGGAATAGAGCATATATACATCATTATCTATACATAAATGTTTTTCATTAATATGTATGATAATTTACATGACGTGTTTTATTTTTTATATTTAAATTTACAGTCTGAAACAAATTTTAGTTAATTATTTTGTTTTGTCAATATTGGATTTTTTTGTTTCAGTAAAGATCTATTTTGATTAAGTATATCATGACATTGTTCTATATTATCTAAAATGTTTTGCAACTCCCAATGTTTTGGCAATAGGGCAAGATCTAGGTTGAATAACGCGTATCGAAAACATAATATTTGAGTACATGTAGCAACACTATGAAGTTGTATTCCTAAATCGTGAACCAAAGTTTTCAAATACATTTCGTTTTCGTTTATAGCCACAATTTCTAAAAAGAAATATATAAAAAGTATATCAATATATAATTATATAATATGATATGATTATGGATAATAAAAATGTGTTGTGTAATAAAAACTATAATATATTTACCTAATGTAAATTCAGGAGATGTAAAGTCTACACATTTTATGCTATAAACCATAGGAATATCGTTGTTTGCAGGTCTCATTAAACCTTTTACAGCAAACTCATATGCAGCTTGACTTTGTATATCTATTCCACTGACTCTAAATATGCAGAAAAGATTGACTGTTAATTGTAAATTTCAATAATAATTCATAATATCATAGATATTTATCATACATACTCAAACATTTTTCTTTGATGCGCAGCCTGCATGGAAGCACACATTCTATCAATAACATCACGCTTAATATATTTGTATGTAGATCTTTCGACGATTTTTCCAGTTTTAAAATAATTATCTGTTGCTTGTCCCAAGATGCCTTTAACTTTGTAACTGCTCGGAGGTTTAGATGCTTTCAATTTGTGAATCAACTTGGTAGAATCATTAATACCACAGATCATGAGTCCTGATGAGTTGGTGTTCAAATAATTAGCGCATATTAATTTGAAATCTTTTAATTGATATCGTGGTCCTACTACTAAAGGATGATCCGCATAACTAGGATGTGTAACTACTTCCATCTTCTCTGTTGTATCACCTTCTATACACACATGTTGGATCGGTGGACGTACTTGCATACTATTCAAATCTAAAATTAAATATTGGTTTTGAAGAAGTTAAAAATAAAAAATAAAGATCATTCTTTGTATTAGCATTCATTTTGTTTGATTTTTTCGCAATACAAGTCTTTTGGTTCCATTTTAAGAGTAAAATAGAAAAAGAAAAATTCTTAAATTCTGCTTCTTTTTTAATATTGGATTCTTTCTTATACTTTTTATATTTAACAAACTTAAAACTTAAAATAATATAACCAGTTTTTATAGAAAAAAGAAAGAATAAGATTTATGAAAGTGTAAGAAAGAATGAAGCAGAATTCGCGCATAAAAACATAAAAAATAAAATTCTAACCTTCGCAGAGACGATAAATTATGGTGTCTCGTGTATTTAAATAGGTGACTGCTGGGGGTTTGTAAACAGCAAATACGCCGTTTAAAACATTCCATGCTATTCTTGCATCGGATACTACATGTTTAATTTTTGGAATTAAAGTTCTCGTCTTCATATTGAAAATGCAAAATATTCACTGTTTTTACTTAGATATTATATCTAACTTGTATAAATTTTACTTAAATGTGAACTACATAATGTAATTACGTAGTAGTTTTTTCTCTAATTTTATATATTTTATAAAAGTAATTTGTTTTTAATTTAATTTAATATTTTTTATTAATTTTATATTTTTATAAAAATAAGAGAAAGAGGTTATCATGTATCGCTACTGTTACATGCCATAAGGAAGAATGAGAGGTCTCTGAAAGCGATACGCCCTCTATAAACATTAAAAACATGGACATGAACTACGAAGCTAATGTTCACGAATGTTCTCAGAGGGTAACATAAAATATGCACAATTTCTGGTTTGTTCCGTGCTATGTGCACGAAATGCTGATAGCACCAGTACTGTATGTGATTTGATAATAAATAAATTATTCAATCGCGAAAGATACTATGATATTCAAAGATGAAATAAATATTTTTCTATATTCATTGTTATATTTATATCTTTTTAATTACACTCTCTCCGCGTGCACATAGCACGGAACAAAACCAAAAATTGTGCACATTATATATTACCTTCTGAGAACATTCATGGACATTTGCTTTGTAGTTCATATCCACGTTTTCAATGTTCATAGAGGGAGTATCGCTTTCAAAGATCACTTAAAAGCAAGCCATGACATCTCTCAGTTTTCTCTCTGATTGCTATTTCCTTCTTGGTATTTTCCATTATCCATGTTCGATTATTTTCTCAAAGGGCACTTCCGGATCAACTCTACATATATTGTATCATATCTAGCTGTTCATGCATTATGACTCAAAACAGATGTTTGACATCTGCGAGCGCTATATGTGTTAAAAATTAAATGTAAGGTTAAAAGACGAGTAGTAAGTCGTATAATGTTAATCAATGAAAATGTGTTAGCAATTTTGAATTTTTCTCAATCTTAACAATCTACTCTCCATCATCTCCTAATTAGATGTCCTAATTGTATTCCTGGATATATAACAGCGGCTGGTATTTATTTATAATCACAGAGGTAGCCATATTTTTGCGAGGGTCGCGCTTGCTCGACCTCCAACATGGGCGTTCCTTTTGTCGTCTGCAATGTGTCAAATGAGCCGAAAATGATCGAAAACTGTTGGATAATCGAGTGAGATATTAAATTCGCCGTGAAAATCGATGTGTCAACAAAGACGTCTCTGGGGAGATCTAAAAATGCATTATCCATTTTGACAAACGTATCGGATTTCCGTTTGCTATTTTTGCTGATAGTGTCGCGAGAACAAAAGACATTTCTAGTGCAATTAAATACATTAGTTGAATTAGAAACACGAAAGAAAAAAGTGCGATTTCGTTTTATCGAACAGTCTCTTTTTCACCGAAGCTTCGAAACTCTTAATCCACCAGATGAGAGATCAATGAGGGATCCCACCGATTCAGTAAAGGTTATGCAGCGAAATCGAGAAAAAATAAAGACGTCAAAAGAATTTTCTGCATGCTAATTATTTGATGTAAGCAAGAAAGAGAAAAAGGAAAACGGTTTTTTTTGCAAATAATAAGCGACAGAACACTTTAATGCGTACTACAAGCTCCGAGAAACTAAAGTACAAGATTCCTGTCCCAAATCAGCTGATCAGCAAAAAGAATCTGTGAGATTTAATTAAGCTTTAATGAGAGCATTATTTTGAATATACACATATTGAAAATATTTGCACAAAGCTCAGTTTGAGATAATTTTGTACGCGTGACAGACAATATTTATTTCTCACGAAAAAGAAAATTGTAAAATGTCGGGGAACAATTCAACGGCGATGAATACAAACAAAGGTAGTAATCTCCAAAATCGCAATTCGCAGAGATCTACCCTTCTGAAAGTAGTGATACTTGGAGATGGTGGTGTCGGAAAGTCTTGTCTTATGAACAGATTCGTATCGAATCATTTTGATGAGCATAGTTTTCATACTATTGGAGTAGAATTTCTAAATAAAGATATTGAAATCAATGGCGAAGGGTATACATTACAAATATGGGACACTGCCGGCCAGGAAAGGTTTAAGACCCTCAGAACACCTTTCTATAGGGGCTCGGATATTTGCCTTCTGACTTATGCAGTAGACGATAGGACGAGTTTTAGAAATTTAGCATTATGGAGATCTGAATTTCTAAAATATGCAGATGTTCAAGAAGATTCCAGTTTTCCATTTATCGTTGTTGGTAATAAGGTAAGCTATGGAATAAGCAAAATTTGCATTGAATAATGCATTGAATACTCTTTCCTTACTATAAAACATTCCTTTTTCTTTTCTAGGTGGATGTTGCCGAATCTGAGAAGCAGGTGTCCACAGAAGAAGCTCAAGCTTGGTGTTTAGAAAATGGCAGTCCTCCGCTAGTTGAGACATCAGCGAAAGATGCCACTAATGTTGAGGCAGCATTTGGGGCAGCGGTTGACGTATGGGCGCGATTAGAAGCTAGATTAGAACGGCCTTTAATAGAAGATACCGTCGATCTTTCTAAACAGCAATCTCCGCATCGTTCGAGCTGCTGCATGCCTGTATCTAGCGGCGAGTAGGTCTTATGATTCTTCTCAGCTTATGATTCTCATTAGTTTTTGATTTTATGTTCCAATAAAATAATGCATGATATATTTTCTTCAAGATCTTCATTTGTGAGCAGCTAATTGAAATTATAGGGTTATAGGAAGATAAGCATGCAGTATGCAATCTTTATATGATGCAAATCAATATTTCTGGAACAGACATTTAAAGTTTCTTTCCATTTGTAAGAAATATATAATGTCACAAATTGAACTTGAAATGATGTTTTTACTCTCTTTAGGGTCAATAAGAACATTACGCAATATAAGTGTAAGAAATTATTTTAATCTGATATTTTATATACTCACAAAAAAAATGAAAATTTATTTGTAGTCCACAGAAAATTCGAACTTAAGTCAAAAGTTTAATTAATTAATTTCATTTCTCAGTTTCTCTTTTCAGTTACGTCAGAGATAGACATTTTTACAAATTATACTTAAGACATCATTTTTTTTTATACAAGGCATACTTTGTTTCTAGGTCTAACAAAGTAATTTGAAGAGAATCTCTTGCCTGTCTACAATACTTTCTTCATTATATGGTAAACTTTCTTTATTGACATTGGAATTATGTCGATTGTATATGAACGACATATATAATTTCAAATCTTTTACTTAAGGCTGATTAAGATTTCCAAAGAATGGTCTAATTTATTTACAAGCAAATGAATGTTGATTTTGTTGGTTGACTCCTTTTTTATGAACAAAACCTTTCTTAATAAAATATATTCAAATAAGGCCACAGAGATCGTATATAAAATAAATAATGCATTGTGTGATACATATATGCATATACATACACACACACACACATACATATATGTATGTATATATATACAGGATGTCCGGAAAATTGCCCGCAGTACTTTGGGAAGTGATACAGGACCTAAAAAGAAGGAAAAAAGCTATATATATATATATATATGTGTGTGTATGTATATGTATATATCTAGAATACAATCTTAAGATCTAAGATCAAGTTAAACGTCCTATCAATGCTTTGTGCAGCTCTTAATAAGTTACTGACAGTATTTTAAGTGTTTTCACACACTACTGGCTTGTGATAAAATATAATGATAATAATAATAATAATCATGAATTGCTTTATTAAATAAGACATAAGCATAAGATGTAATTTTAGCTTTGTAATCTAAATTTGCCTTATCTTCGCGATATACATCTGAGAGCAGTAAAGTAATATTTTATTTAACATTTTATTCAAGCAAAATCTTGCTATTCATATGCGAATCTCTCTCTCTATATATATATATATATTTAACATTTGTACAAAAAAATGTGGCACATGCTTTTCTGCTCTTAGAATATTTCTCATTCAATATTTAACAATTTTCCTACAAAATTAATAATGTTATAAAGGAATGAATTTTTTATAAACAATCATCGTTATCACATATTTGATTCGGAAGGTATTTGATTCTTTAGAAATATAGCCTTATATATAGCACAAAGAGAAAGTGTATGTAATAATTTTCCAACGACAAGATTTAAATTGTGTATAAAACGTGCATGCTGGTGCTTTTTATATATATATAAAGTACATGTGAAGTATATAAATTTATAATAAAATATATAATGATAATTGATAATTAAAATATTAAGTACATCTAAAACTAATCATATCAAGATGAGAGATGACTTCATCTCATAATCATAACACATAAGCATCATTATTACTCCAAATCTTTATATGAAAAATCTATGAATTATTTTTTAAAAGATACTGCTGCATACACATATACATGCATTATTTGTGAAAAAACGCGTGCGCGTATCGATTGTTATTTATTATTTTTACATATTTAATAAGACAAGGCTATTTCTCATATGCACATGTAACTTATGTACAATATGTGTGTATGCCTTAAGATTTTATAATTCTAGGTGACGATTTTGCAAGGAAAAATAAATTATACTGCTTGTTTAAAAAGTCATAATATAACACATATTACTCAATTACTAACATTCCCTTCCTCTTTCAACTATGGTAACATTTTTAATTTGCTAAAAAAATGTATCATAAATATGAAATATGAAATCAAAAATAAAAATGAAAATGTGAGACAAAAATTTACATAATTCAAGACAAAAAAGGGAAAAAAGAATTGTATAACTCTAATTCTTTTAAATTTCTTTGCTTTTTTTTCTTATTTGAAATATTTCATGAAATATTTTACATGAAATTATAATGCAATCTTTACATGTAATATATGCAATTTACATATCGATTTGTAACAATTGTATTTTATAATTGTATATTTTTACAATTATTTAAGATAATGTAGCGCACACACATTCTTTTTCCCAAATATTAAAGTTATTGATACTAGTAGGTGTTCTTATAAAAGCATAATAAAAATGGATAATAAAAATATATAAATTGGGAAAAAGTATGTGTATTTCTTGACAACATATTTCTTATATGAATATTTTAACAATATTTACAACTTGCTACATTTATATGTATCTAAGATTCAAGCTCCTAATTGTTTATAATTATTTCATGATTCAATGGTGAATTACATTCTAAAATATTTGTGTTTCATCTTTGTAGAACTTATATAATAATTATTTAGAATGTTTTTAATATTAAATTTAAATGTAAATTAATATGTCCATTTATATTGTCTTTTTAGAATGAGAAATCAAGGAAAAAAGTAAATTATGTAACTAAAATAAATATTTTTCTTGCTTCTTGCTATATTTCTATATATTTATCTATAAATATATAGATAAATATATATATATATATTTTATATATTCTATATATTCTATATATTTCTATATATTTATATATATAAGCTTAGAAGAGATTAATTCTCTATATCTTTGTTTAATACGCAGAACGCTATATTGCGCTGTTAATCTTGACGTTTCTTTTACATTTAGACGGATTTCCATCAAAATTTAGTTGCACTCTTGTATGAGTACAACTTGGAAAAAATAAATTATAACAATTTACTGAATGCTAATGACAATGTTCCGTAACATCTACGATCACTGACTTTTTCCAGCCAAATAGGAAGTAACCGATAGCAGCACCTATTACTACGGCACAGCACAGCCAAACATTGTACGTCATGAAGATTAGCATCAAGAAGTATGACAGGACGATCTGCACGATATGCAGAAGCGTTTGGAACAAATGCATCCAAGACAGCATAGTTGGCCTGCACAGATTAATGCATCTAGTTACGCTCAAATCTATTTAAAACTTGAATAAATTCAAAAGTTGATTTATAGATTTGAATAGTTTACAGTTTTGCAAAGCTAAATTAAGTTAAAGTTAAAAGCAAAACACAAGATGAAGAATTTTTATACTAATTATTCATAGTTATATTTCAAAATTGAGTTATAATAATTTCTGAAAATAAATATGTAGTCAAATATTAACTTTTCATATTTTAAATGAATCAATCTCGTTAATAATTTTAATAATTAATAAAAAAAATTTTAATTATTTAGGGAATATAGAAAGAATTAATAAATAATGTAATAAAGTCACTAACAGTATTAAATTTAAAAAAAAGATAAATATTTAATATATGCATCAGAAATTATTTGCAACTTAATTTAATATATATAATAGATATAATAATTAAAAAAGTCAATTTATAAAAACGCTTAATTGAAAATATAAAGACATACACGAGATGAATGGAAATGTTGATGAAACAGTCGTGCTAAAAATATTTGATAAGTAAAGTACTTTATATTTTATATCCAAAAGATAAAATCCTATTAAAAAGATATACATACAAGTTTTACAAATATGAAAATCACTTAACAAAATAATCACAGCAACACCACAGCAATTAATGACACATAATAATATTGCAGAGTACAAAGAAAATATCTCACAGTATCTCGAAGAATATTATTTACTTACGGTTGCTTGTGGATTACTTCGCCAACCATACTAGAAAAGTACATTTAACGATTAAATTGACAATGTAAACTATCGTTTATGCATTTTAACGATCCTGTAAAAGAATATTGCTCTTTGATTTCGAAATGAAAAGCTGCCTGAAGATTACATACTACTTAAGTTGATTTAATATTTATCACATCCTTGCAAATTTGTCACAGTAAATTATAAATATTCTTGCACAAGCAAGTATGGGAAAAGCAACATTTTTTTGCAGGATCGCTCTCTAACAATAAACAAGCGAGCTTACTGAACGACTCGATTGTCCTCAGCTACCACATTCTTCTCACTGGGCACCGTGACGCTTCTATATTGCAGAGCATTGTATGTCTTCCAGAATAAATACTCCCGATAATATTTCAAGCCCTCATAGAGCGCGGCCATGATAATGATACCGATCATCGAACCGACGAGGCCGCCGATCGACGAGATCTTCCAGTTTTCGAACAGCACCGATTCACAGTAACCGGTGTGAAATGTCATCTAGGCCGTGGAAAGCAAATAGTATCGTTAACAGCACCAGGTACTGAACAATCTACTCATACCTACCGACATACCGTGCATGTCCATGTTGCTGCACGCATCACTCGTCGAAGCACCGATATCATGGCTCATTGGGTGGTTCATACTCCCATGGTTCATATTCGCATGGTCCATACTCTCATGGTTTACGCCTTCGTGATTCATGCTCGCATGTTCCATGTGAGCCATATGTAGACTGTGAGACGTGTGATCCGTTGTATTATTCATCATGATGTGATCTGCGTGATTATGAGACATCTGCAAAAAGGAAGGAAATTCTTAATGGGATATGTTTTAATCAAATCCATCGGATACACTCAGTCTCTACGCGAAAATTATATGAAGGCTCGACGATAGTAAGAGAGATAGAGAGTTTTGCCAGATTCCAAGATCTGATCGAATCGTTTTTTCTCTTCTTCATTATCACAATTCCATTGTGATAGAAAGTAATACATGAAATGTGAAAATGTAAATCATTTCTTTAATCTGGATTTAAAGAATTTGTTCTGTTGCGATATCTGTTGAAGAATTCGCAAGCACTTGAGATTTACATGTTGTGTGTTATATTAGAAATTTATATTATATAAGAAAACATTAAAAGAATTTATTATTTTAGAAACTTAGATAATATTAATCGGGGATTATCCTGAATTTACGATATCTGAATTTACGATATCTGAAATTGTGATATCTGAATATGCGATATTTGAAATTGTGATGTAATAAAGGAATTTATTATTCGAGCCATTAAGTGCTCGAACACATTTAAAAACGTAAAGAAAAACTAATTTATGTATTAGCTATTAAAACTATTTGTGCTACTTTTCAGTAGTTTATCAGTAATCTGATTGACTATGAGATAATAAACTAATCTATAACTTCAGAAACGAAACTTCAAGCATTAATTTGGAAAGTATAAAGAAAAAAATAATTGCGAGTCACAATACTTTTTAAAAAATAGATTTCTTGGATAAATGTAGATCAACATTTAATTCTGTTAAGCAAAGGATCACTGTCTATTTTAATCGTTAAAAGTTGGTTGGATATTTTTTTAATACCTGTAGTTATTGGTATAGAACTTATATATATATATATATATGTGTGTGTGCGTGTGTGTTAAATAATATTCTGAAAAAGAGCAAATTTAAAATCGAAAGTTTGACTTTATAGTTTAAGAGATTAAAACCTTTAAAATGAAATACCTGACATACATTTCACAAATTATTTTAAAAAACAAAGAGTAAGTGTAAATGTTTTGTAAAAATTCGAGAAATAAATCTAAATTTAATTTTACCGATTTTAACACATCTGTTTCCTCAAATTTTAAAAATAAATTTGCTCAATATTATAATTAAATAAATGGAAAATAATTTGACAATTCGTTAAAAATATCAATAATTTTTTGATTATTGATTAAATGGGAATTATTCATCAACAAATAATAATAATGATAACCTTGAGAGAAAATATGTAAATATTATGTAAATATTAATAAACACAACTAATATTTTGTATTTTTTCCACTTTGAAATTATATATTTTAACAGTATAATATATTATGATAATATTATACACAATATTATATATATTATGATAATATTATGATAACATTATACACAATATTATATATATTATGATAATATTATACACATATATATATTATGATAATATTATATAGAAATACTCTTCTGGTTAGTGATATCTCGTGAAGTAATGTATCAGTTGAATGGCTATTTCAACTTATATACATTTCAAATCATATATTTCAAGTAAGCATTATCATCTCATTAATGAACAAATTTTATGATTAGATTCTTTTACATAGAAACGAAAAAGATAGAAAAAAGCGAAAAGGAAAAAAATTTTAAATACGTCCCGAGAATAATTCACTAATTATAGAATACATAGAGAAGCAATTTTATTTTATTTTTCATGAGAAATAAATATTTGTTTCATTGAATGTTTCACAATCAAATATTTTCACAAGTTTAATTTTTATTATTGTTTATTTGCAAAAGTGTATAATTATCAAGTATATATTATATGAATCAAAATATTATCTTTCGTTGCTTAAAACTTCACAGTGAATATCATAATAAGAATGAATATCATAGTTTTCGTATTTTTCTTGTCAAAAAAAATGGATTAATTTGTATAATGCTGTATATACTCTGAAAAATATAATAAATATAACAAAACTTAAGAAATAACAAAAATTGCAGAGGTAATACAAAATGTTGCTTTCAGAAATGATTTGATTACTTATTCGAGAATACATTTTAAAAATATTTGCATCGCATATTATCACATAATGTGTTTCTTGTGTATCTTTAGGACAGATAAGATACACATCTTTCTACTTGTCGACCACAATTTATGTATGCACGTACAATTTAAATGTAATAAAAATGCACATATAGTACTTAATAAAGCATAATCTTCATTCTAATGACAGATTCCTTAATCTGAGATCGATTTTTTTAAATAAAAATATCAAATTCTTTTCGATTTATAAACGATTGAAAATGAGGTATTTCTCGTAAAATAAGCCTCAATAAAATAAATATTTTACTGAATTCAAAGCTTAATTTCGATTATAAATTGGAGATAAAAAGGAGATAAGAAAGAACTCAGATTATAAAAAGAAGACAGGAAAGAATCTGTTTAAAAAATTAAAATAGATCGTACAAATCCACAAATCTAAAAAAAGTTTAAATTGAGAAAAATCAAGAAATAATAAAATATCAATAGCTGCAGGAACGAGGAAAATTGATAGCGATGATTAAACATACACGGATATGGTAAAATGTGACCATCAGGATGTGTGTGTGTGTGTGTATCGATGAATATTATTTTGGAACTGTGTAACGATAAGAAATATACATAAAATATTTCAATACTTTGGAATCTTATCGATTGAGTAAATATTCCACGGATACATGATCATATAAAAAAATTATCACCGTAGATTTACAAACAAATCAGCGACTGAGCTTAAGTTACGATAAAAAATTAAAAATAAACAATTTAAAAAAGGATAAATCGCACTGTAAAAGACAGTTTTAATGTACAAGAAAAAGATAATCTTTCTCTTTGTATCTCTTTCACATTATAATTTAAATAATTTTTTTAATTAGTTTATATAAAATTTTAAATACATAGATAGGCGGAAAATTGCATCAATTATTTTCACCGTCAAATGTACGTCAAATATAAATCAGTTTTCGTATATGTGTGGCATCGGAATCTAAATTTTCCACAAAGATCAATACTAGTCAAATGATTTTTTTCCATATTTTCTTGTTTCGTATCATGTTCTGAGGAGAAAACTCGTAAGCAACAGATAAAGACACGCTGAAGAATGCCTTTGAATGCGTGTATTCGATTGTACAGGCTATTATTGAATTATTATTTGGTTCAAACAAGTACATTGTTTCAATCTTTCAACGAAATTAAACTCATCGATGAAACTTATAAACATTATCGTTACCGATCACCGTATCATTCATTTTTTTTACTGGCTATCTCATCCAGGTAGATCAGATATCTCGATTAAAAATTGCGTAATATTATAGAAAATTACAAATATCATACGCAATAGTTGTCCAGTATCCAATACGCAACGTCCTGCTAAATGTTTCATAACGAAATCCTAGGACTCAATCAAAAGACGAAATACCGTTATCGGTTGATAAAACTGACTCATCCAGCAGTGGTTTAACTGTAAAAACCGCATATGTGATTAAAACCCATGATATAGAAACGATTTAAAAAAAAAAAGAAAAAAAAAGAAAAAAAACAGGAAGCGTCGACGATCCGGAAAAAATAGCACGGAAAAATAGCAAGGATAAAATATTCAGAAGAGATAAAAATACTACAAGTATGAACAATAAGATAAAATAAGCTAACAAAATATTTTACTAATTGTAAGTTTAAATATATGTTTAAATATATGTAAGTTGAATATATAATTTCAAGAATATATTCTCCAATGAATTTAACTCAATTGCAAAAATTTAAATCATGACAGAATTATTTAAAATGACAAATAGTAACAGATTTTTTAAATCAATTTTATAATATTAAATAATCTTAACAAAAGCATTGAAAAATAATTTTCATATACGCTTTCCGAAAACTTAAGGATGAAAACAGATAATTAAAAAATGTGATTTTTTGTTTAATTTTGAATGTACTTTACTTTAACGGTTGAGCAGTTCAAAAATTATTAAGTTCAAAGTTATCAATTCGAAAGTCTATTAAAAAGGCAGGAAGTAAATGACTTCGATATTTTCGCTAAATCAATTGAATTGATCAAAGACGGACTTGAAAGAGAGAATGCTCTGTATACGATATTAAACGTAAAAAATATAGCGAAATTTCTGTTGCAAATTAATAATTAAATTTCGAAATTTTGGCTAAAGTCATCATCGCGAGAAAAGATTTATAATTGAAATTTTGGAGCTACCAAAACCTTGAGCTTATTTGCTGTTTTATGCTGTTGAATATGGAAAACAATTAACGCATCGATTGAGATAGACATTTTATGCAGAAATATTCCATATTTCGTGATAGATTTTGACAAAAAATGCGTTCTAATTGTAAGATCAATATTAATCGACAATTTGGCGCGGTGCAGGAATCTTTAATATCGAAATACCAGAACATACCAAGAAAAGGCATGCGTTATAATTCCTGTAAGAATCTCAATTATCGATCAATTGGTGGAATCATTCGTGGGCTGAGTTAGAATGAACGTTCGGATAAATTCTCGCGAGAAATTTTCAATTGCGAAAGCAATACCCGAGATCATTATAGCGTGTCATTGTGTCACGTTTAACACACAGAATCTCATTACAACGAACTGAAAATCGATTCGCATCCACTTACGATCTCTTTAATCAATTTAGTCGTCAAAAAATTTTTCGGTAAAAATTTTAATTGTTCACGCTCTTCTGAAATATTTAACATCAAATATCTTTAAATGAAATTTTAAAATTAAGTTCGTAGAAATAAAGTTCGCTTAAAGTTAGACAGAGAATGAAGTTTCGTTATGTTTAATTTATGCCTTTAAAATTTAATTTAAATACCTTTAAATATTTGTAACTCAGAAATTATTAATCTACAATATTTCAAAAGAAAATTCAAATCAAAGATCTTTTTTAGTAGGTGAAAGGAAATGCGAGAATTCGAGATACTTTCATATAAGCTTAAAACTATATCAACTCTCTATAGCAAATTCTGCGTTCCTTTCACAGCACCTTCTCTATCTAATTAGACATATTAAACAACGATTTTGTAACTATCTTACCTTTTATGGAATACTTTCATGAACTATCATTCTGCACAATTTTATTTCTAAAATAATGCAGATTTAATCCTAATCGATTAATAAAACTGAAACGTGATAAATCTACATAATTTCGATTATACTTTTTAATTTACATAATCTCGACTAGCTTAAAATCTAGTTTCAAATTTTTGTTTAAAAGAATATATACGAAGCAGATTTGTATGAAAAACGTACATTTTAAAATCGCTCAAAAGTTACGCGACTTTGTAAAAAATAAAAATTTATCATCAGAAGAAAAAAAGTATCAAATATCGACATGCTTAATTATATAATATCATGGTTGGGACAACATGATAAATTATATAATATGGTGTGACATATTTTTCACACAATGTGTTCATGCTAAGATTTTTTTCGCACAAGTCTCTTTCGATCTCGTATCCTGGTGCAGTTTCACCAACTCAAACTCCGCTATCGGTTCGATGATGCAAATTCTCGACCGAGGGTTGAGGGACGATATTGGCTCCAATTGGATCAATGACGGTAAATCACGATTAATTATGTACACGTCCAACCGAGGGATGTGAAGGAGCATAAATATCCGCTGCGGATTTATCTGAGTAAGCAAACGCACGCGCAAGCTGATAACAAGTATCAACTTTCACGTCGTGAAAGTGAATGCTCTGTAAGGTTCTGTCTCTCTCTCTTTCTCATCGCGATTTAGGCAAAACACAAGAAACTGGAATAGAATTTCGTTACAAAATATATTGGCTTTTTATACAATTGAAGGTATCTGTGACGCAACTGTAGCATATGTTACATCGGAAGTGCTGTGTAAAGAAATGCAAGACAGGAAAGATTCGCGATAATCGCGTCCGTGAGAAAATTTGTTTCACGATAGCTGTCGTTAAGCAACTCTGCGCGACTACCCGTTCTAAATCACGTCTCTAATTGCGCTGAGGATAAAAAAGGAAAGGATTAGTCATGGCAACCCTTTCTATAGACAATCTAGTTGTTTTACATATGAAGATCTTTAGGATCAATAATTTAAGTATATAATAAAAGAATTTTGCGCCGTAGACGAGTTTTTTAAGCATTTACTCGACTGGATCTTTTTTCAAGATTCTGAAGAATATTTTAAAAATTTGAAAGAAATCTTGTTTGTCTTCAGAAATTTTGTTTACAAGAATAAAGGTCGAAATCCATTTCCGCGATAACAATTACATCAGAGGAAGAGGGGAAAATAATTTTCTTTCAAAAATGAGCAAAATCAAACAAGACAAGATTATTTATAATTGCTCTCCTTTTACTCAATCAGCTGAGAAAATCTTTCGGTAAAATGAAACGAAACAAGAAAAATCACGCCACGCAAACTCGCAATGAAGGAAAGTGTCATCGAGTCATTTACCTCTGCAAGTAAGGTTATATCACGTTGAGCGACAATCGGACGAAGGTCGAAGTCAGGTCACAAGCGACGATGATGGAATGATGGCAGTTTTTCTCGGTATCCTTTTCCCTGTTATCCAAACGCTGCTTAACTCGCTCTCTTAAGCAACCTCTCGCGAATCCATTAATAAACTGTGCGCGACTTTCACAAGTACCCACTGCCTACCCATGCGCCGTCTGTCATCGCGTAGCTGTGCAAACCAAGAGAGTTGATCTCATTGATTATAAGACTCGTGATAGCGAATGCATGATAGTAAACAAACATGTGATAAGGGACACGCGCTATCATATGATTGCATTAGGGTAGGGCGCATTCACATCTTGAAGAAAAATAGGAAAGCAGGGAGTCAATCAGAACTCGCGTTGATAATATATATATAAGCAGTGTATAAGCAATGCATTAAGGCCCGGTTGCACCAACGTTATTTCAGCTTTAAGCGAAACTTAAATATATGTCTGCCTTTATTTATTTAGAAAGAAAGATAAAGATAGATATATATTTAAGTCTCGCTTAAGGCTGGGTTTACAATAGATAATTTAAGCCATAAGCCTTAAGAGATTGACCAATCACAGTCAAGTATGAAGAGAATACTCGATTGTAATTGGTCAATTTCTTAAAGCTTAGGTCTTAAATTATCTATTGTAGACCCGACCTAAAGCTAAAATGATAATGGTGCAATCGGGCCTAAAGGCTTTTGCACATGAATTGCCATAATCATAAACGTAAAACGTAAATATAAGCTGAAGAACCAATCAGAATATAGGCCGCAGCACACACTTTTGCATAAGCGCATACCATAAGCATAAGAAAATTGATTGGTTCATTTTCTTATGCACATACTTGGGGACCAATCAATTTCCTTATGTTTATGGTTATGCGCTTATGCAAAAGTGTGTGCTGCGGCTTTTACGGCCACGTAAGCAAAAGTAACTAGGATTTCAACCGGTTGAAATCACAATGGATAACCAAAAGCAACGATTGACCAATCAGAGAGTCTTATTTTGAATTGGCCAATTGGCGACGTGGTCAATCGGGTGTCACCCAACATGACGTCGATAAACGTATTGACCAATCAGGAGTAAGGATTTGTTTTAATTGGTCGAATAATCTCCGCTTCTACCAATGGCCGGACTCAATGGTTGGGCAACATTACTAGATTTTCCTATGTAATTCGACGCTGATTGGTCGGATCTGAAAGAGAACCAATCATGTTTGATTGCTACTTAGCGGTTGAATCCACTGAATGCGGCCATTGGCAATTTTGACACATGTACTTATCAAACAATCGCCTTAAAATTAACTGCCGATTTAAACTTGAAACTTGCGATGTAAAAGTCTGAACGCGTATTTAATTAAAGAGTTGTGCGTCTTTATATAATATTTAATTAATAATAATTGCTATTGTACGTATAATAGAAATTAAATTATTAAAGTATTACTATCGAAGGTGAATTATAATAAAAATCGCGTTGTACAGTGTAATATATCACGTGTGATACAAGTGTGTATATATTATTTCGTACAAATGAAAAAATTTTATAGGATAGGAATAAAATGAATATTGTATAATATATACATAATTCTTATAATTTTTTTACAAAAACTTTTTCTGAACATTTCCGAGTAAAATGAGCTTAATTACTGATAAAATTATGCGAATTTTACGCAAATGTCATCCTGATAAAAATAATGAAAATGAATCAAAAATGAGTGTGATGAAAAAATCACAAACAGAAAGAGAAAAATTGGAAGAAATCAAAAATAATGCAGAAAAATTGCTTGCGGATATACAAAGCAATTATGTAGGAAGTATTGAATATGCTAATTTGAATAAAATGCTGGCAATTTGTAATTTAGAGGTAATCTTTAATTCAAATTTTTAATTTAATTAGTGTTTATGTAATGAAATGAATATAAATTGTTTTTAAATATATATATCCCTTAAAACATATATACTATTATATATATAAATTACACAACATATATATTATATATATATATATACACACGTTATATGTTTGTGTAAATATATGTGTATATATGTTTAATGATAATCTTGCAGTAATATTAATATCAGCTATATCTTTTTAGATTGGAGATGAACTCACAGCTGTTCATCATTTGATTGAATCACATGCAGTAATACTTCGACAACACATTCTACATAGATATCAAAAGTCTAAATTGTATGAATCTCTAAAGGCTAAGCCGCAAATATATGGATTAAAACCAACACATGTAAAGTTTGAAACAAAATTTGCAGATAATAATGAATCATCAAAATCAAAGCTCGCAGAATTACCAAAGGGTATATATATATATATATTTTTTTTTTGTTACAGTATATTCCTGTGTAAATTTATTATACTTTTCTAATTTTATATTTGCAGAATGGTATATGATTCAAGTTACTGTTCAATATGAATCTTCAAGTATATTAAAACATGAAAAATGTACATCTACTGTAATGCATGCCATACATATTACAATATTGCCCACGGGACCATCTGATATAGAACCTTTGTGCATAACTTTGCCAAGACCTGCAACACAAGTATCTTATGATATTTGCAAGGAGATTAAGAAATTATTAAACAATTACAGAACCGAGTTAAAAGCTACTTATGAAAATCGTGCACAATATTGGAAGATGCGTGAAATTCAAAACAACAAAATGAAGGTAGACTTAAATTTAAACTATTTTAATTATTAAGGAAATTTAAGATTATTAATTACAGATAGCTATAAATGGATTAGAAAATATATGGCTGCGGGAATGGAGAATACTATTTATGGCTGATCCCATTGAAAATTTAGAAATTGTAGATGATATGCATCAAATGTTGGATAAATTGATATTAGATTTCAAACCTTTGTAAGTATATATAATGTTATGTAGATTATTTAAAGCCTACTGCAGTATGTTATTTGTGGATATTGATTTTGTTATATCATTTTAGTGTTGAAATATCAAAGCGATGTAGATGGCTTCTAAGAAAGATATCTACATGTGCATGTTTTCTCACACGTGAAGAAATAGCACGTGCAGTGAAATTTCTCCTTCCTAAATATGAAAAACTTGCAAATAATATTATTTTGTCTATTTATGGAAAGTTAGCATATATACAAAAATTAAAAATCGCAAAGCGAAAGACATTAGTTCTAATTATCGACGAGGTAAGTGAACAATATTGTATCAAAAAATAATTATACTGGATGTCCGGAAAATCGCCCGCAGTACTTTGGGAAGTACTTCGGGACTCAAAAAAAAAAAGGAAAAAAAGCAGAGCATGTATAAACATAGGTTCGCAAAGATAAGTTTCCGAGTTATAGGCACATTTATATTTAAAAAAATCGTAATTTAGAGTCCCCGCTTGGCATCTCTCTTTTTTACATTTTAAATTTAAAAATATAAATTTAAAATTTAAATTTAAAAATTTGAATTTAAAATTTAAATTTGAAAATTTAAATTTAAAAATTTGAATTTAAAATTTAAATTTAAAAATTTAAATTTGAAAATTTAAATTTAAAAATTTAAATTTAAAAATTTGAATTTAAAATTTAAATTTAAAAATTTAAATTTGAAAATTTAAATTTAAAAATTTGAATTTAAAATTTAAATTTTGAAATTTAAATTTTAAATTCAAATTTTTAAATTTAAATTTTTAAATTTTAAATTCAAATTTTTAAATTTAAATTTTAAATTTATATTTTTAAATTTAAAATTTAAAAAAGAGGGAGGGATGCCAAGCGGGGACTCTAAATTACGATTTTTTTAAATATAAATGTGCCTATAACTCGGAAACTTATCTTTGCGAACCTATGTTTATACATGCTCTGCTTTTTTTCCTTTTTTTTTTGATTCCCGAAGTACTTCCCAAAGTACTGCGGGCGATTTTCCGATCATCCTGTATATGAATTTACATAAATTTCTGTTTAATATAACAATTAGTTTTATTTATGTCTTAAGCACATGGATTATATAGCATTTGAAGCTATGGAAATTATTAAGAATCACCCTGTCACTCGTTTCCCATCTCTACATGTAGCATATGCATTATTCAAAGAACATAAAGATACTATAATAGATGGTTGTAAAATAATTAAAACCACAGAAGATATGGGAATCTGTATGATTAATTCGTCGGGTAATCTAAGCAAAATGGAGAAACGCATAAAGCTTTTTATGGACTTTTGGCTACCACAATGGAAACTGCACAACACAGAACTTAATGAAGAAATTTTCGAGGAAGCGCTAATAAATCACGATGTTTTAATGTATAAAAATATTATATATATTATATATGTATAAAAATATTATATATATTATTTCAGCAATGTTATTATTATCGACTATTCGTTTGATTATATCTATCCTTTCTCCTATATAGGTATACTGGTCATGGGAGTGGCGTAGAATATTTACCTGGAGAAAATATTGAAAAAATGAAAGTGAGATCTACTGTTTTATTATTTGGATGTAGTAGTGTGAAATTACTTACGATAGGCGGAAGATATCCACCTTTTGGTGTTTCGAATCAGTATTTAATAGCATGCAGGTAAGAAAGATGTAATGCGTAGTTTAGTTTTCCATTGTAAAAATTTTGTTTAAATTAAAAACTAAATATGTATAAATCAATTTGCAGTCCTTGTCTCCTAGGTATGTTGTGGGAAGTAACAGATGTTGATATTGACAAAATGACTGCACACTTTATAAGTAATTGGATTCCTTCATCGTCCGAGAGATCGTGGACAGAGGTAGACATAGATAGTTGGACTTCTGGTACTTTAAGTTAGTATTATGAGGTGAAAGTCGCTTTATGTTTCCTCTTCAATGTTTGATAATTTTTTTATAATTAAATTTTTTATAGAATTCACAAAGAAAACAGAAAACGATAAAACGGAAATGGAGCCAGAAATGTTGCGAGCAGTGGCAAAATCTAAAAATACTTGCTCTCATTATATGACATCAGCTGCAATAGTAGTACGAGGCTTACCAATAAAAATAGTTTAAAAGTTTTCCTAATATGCAAGTACATTTCTTTTTTTATATTGATATAAGCTAATTTCTTTTTCTACAATGTGTAAATTACTTGTATTTTAGAAAATGAAACAAAGACTTTTTGATTATTTATAAAGCAAAATCTGTATTTTTTTGTTTTAATGTGAAGATATTTTAAAAACGCGCGATATAGTATATAAAAATAATAACATATGGGAAATATTATACATACATTGAGTGTTTTTAAAAATTATTAAAGAAATTTTCTAATACATTTTCTAATACATATGTCTTGCCATTTAATAATGCCTTCACTGATTCGCGAATTTAGATTATACTCTTTGGTCACATAATGATCTGAGGTTCTGGTACAGAAGTGGAAATGCTCTTATGTGGCAAAACTTGTCCTCCATTGATGTATAGTTCATCCTTTACAATAACGTCTTCTCCTAATACAGTTGTACCTTCCATTCGTACCCATCGCCCTACGACACTTCTCCATCCAACTATACATCTGTGGGTGATAATAATTACTTTAATATCATTAATATCATACATGTGAATCTTTGTACATATATACATAATATAATTAATACTTGCCCATCAAGCCATGCATGTTCCTTTATCACAGCTGCCTTAAGAATAGTGCTTCGTTTAATACAGCATCCATCAGCTAAAGTGACACCAGGGCCAATTGTTACGTTTGGTCCAATCCTGCAATCCTTGCCAATTGTAGCTGTCGCATCTATTAAAACGTTTCCTACTATGCCCGGTCCAGAATGAAGTTGTTCAGGATGCTTTTGCCTCAACGAAGCGAGGTACATAGACATTCCTAAATAAAATTAAAAATATCAGATGTAAACGAACAAGTTAACTTATATAACTTATATATAAATATTATAACTTATTAAATAACGTATATGAGTAATATGTAAATACCTGTAAGAAAGTCTTTAGGTTGTCCCACATCCATCCAGAAGCCTGGCAATTCCATAGCGTATAATTCTCCATCCTGAGCCATGCTTGGGAAGACTTCTTTTTCAATACTAGTAGGTTTCAATTCTATTCTGTTTAGTATGCTTGGATTAAAGATGTACATACCTGCATTTTATCAATATAATTTATTTTTTTATATTATGTAGATGTATTTACAATCCATAGAATTTTTCTATACAACAACAAGTCTTGGTATTTTTACTATCATACCTGCATTAATTTTGTTAGATATAAACTCTTGCGGTTTTTCGACAAAACTTTCAATTTTTCCATCTTCTTTATATACAACTACACCATATTTTGATGGCTCCTCTACTTTGGTGACAATTATAGTTCCCTCTTTACCATGATTCTCATGAAATTCAAGAAGCTGTTTAAAAGGAAAATCGCAAATAATATCAGAATTCAAAACAAAGAATGGATCATCACTGGCACATAAATATTCACGCGCGAGCGCAAGCGGTCCAGCGGTACCCAACGGTTCTGGTTCGTGAGAGAAGATGAGCCTTACTCCCAATTTCTTTGCTTCATGAACCAACTCCTCTTCCATTTGCTGCGCTCGATAGGAAACAGCCAATATCACTTCCGTTACATTCGTTTGTACCTAAGAATGTTAGAAAAACGTTTGAATAGAATATGAAAATTAATTTTCACCAAAGTTGATAGATTAATCAATTAATAGTTGAATGACAAATATTTATATACCAATGCCTCAATCTGATGTAGGAGCATCGGTTTATTTGCAAATTCAACAAGTGGTTTGGGCCTACTTAAAGTAAGAGGTCGCAATCTGGTTCCATAGCCACCTACAAGTATTAAAGCACGCATGGTTTGTAACTTTTTTCTCTTTTCGTGCATTCCTAAGAATTCTGCAACAGTTAAAATAAAAACATATAATTTACACTGTAATGAAAACGAATTAATTCATAGTCCTAATGTGTTATATCATTTTTTATTAGATTACCTTATGTTTTTTTTGTTCTTGTTTCTTTACTGCACTTTAGTAAATTAATATATTTGCGCTTTACTAAAATATACATTTATTTATTATTACTCCATTGTAATATGTTACTATTATTTTATAATATGGATAATATAACTGTTACACAATGTATTTATTATCTTTCGTCGAATACACGCGATGTTACTTACGTGCAATGCACGTCTTAACGAAGCAACGCGATATCTCTCTGCGATAACTATTGCCACGTAAGATGCGCTTGTAATAAATGGAAACGCATTACGTGTTTACGAGTTGAGTACATGGCAGCGACAGCTTCATGTGATGATTCACTATCAACTTTGGTTGAAAAAAATAAGTTGCTATACACAATGATAAACCTCATGTGTTCCTCTCACATAATAATTGCAAATATTTATTTCACGAATCTCTGTTGTGGCTAATTAATCTTCCAACAATATTACTGGACGCCATTTTTCCACCTGCCGGTGCTCACCTGCCTCGCCTGTCACTGCTACTGTCATTTTTGACATGACAGTATTATGCCTTGTGTTATTGGAGGTTAAATGACAAAAAGAAATCCTCTTGCATTTCAATTGTAAAATGATTTATAAATTATCCACAAAGAAAATTTCAAAAATATTTTTTTCTCGAAACTATTAAAACGACTTATTTGCAAATAACATAACCTTTTCAAATCCTGAAATTAATGTCGTCAAACGTGACAATTCTTGCAAACAAAATATAGTACATGATATACATATATCTATATATGTATATTTGCATATAAAGAGGAAAATGTTATTTAAACATAACTTTTTATTTTAAATATATTACAAAAAAAGTTGTATTTCTTTATATGTTATACAAGAGTGATAGTTTATTTAAATGTAAAGTACAGAGAAAATGCTTAAGCATTAAACAATCATTTCTAATTCTCGGGCATAGTCTATAGCAAGCGCTGCCAATTCGGAGCTCGGGATAGGATCTTCGGATTTTTTTTCACTGATTGTGGTAAAGTAAAAGTAACCGTCCTTGGACAGATTCCAATTCTTCTTGGCGGCAAACGCCTTTATGTCTTTCTCGGTGTTTAAATTGAGCATCCTTGCAGCATCTTGAATGGAGATCTTGTCATACGCGCTCTCCATACACGCGCCGATCTCGTCGCGAACAGTATTTAATAAAATGTCTATGAAGAAATTGTAGGACGCAGCAGGAACGTTGCCCTTGGCCAGAAAAATCTTGTTGTACGAACCCTCCATCAGGTATTGCTCGAGACTCAAGGGATGCCTTATGTAGACATTGGATTGTATCTGATCAGACGGCAGGAGTTCCAGTTCTGTGTGAAATTCGGCGACACGATTTTGCGACAGCAGGAACAAGAGATTTAGACCGAGAAGCTGATATTTGTACGCCGACTCCATCAAACCAGATTTATAATCGAAATAGTAGCACTTGAGCTGTGCCATGTATCGCTCGAAGGAAGGTATATCTTCAGCAGCAATGCTCCATTGCGCTCCGATTTCTAATATATCTCCTGTGAAACGTATAAAATGAATTAATATTTTATTCGATATAGTATATAAAATTAATATTTAAAATTATTAAGACTTTTGAACGAATGATACATACTGGCAATGAGTAATTCATTTTGACTGGCTGTGCTGTTTGATGTCGGGAGAAACATCAGATTCGTGAGACCGACCTACAAGATGTACATATAAAATTATCATTTAATCATTAATGTTATATATAATTATGAAAATTTCATATATATACATATTTAAAGGCTGAAATGTCAAATATAATAATGGAATAATGGTTGAAATTTGAAAAATAGATTTAAGGGCAAACGATGACAATCCATTTTGACAGTCCACAAAAATGAGGTTACGACGAGATGCTTGCGTCAGTAATTATCTTACTTCATACTTTATGAATAAAACATATTATAAACCTTCAATTGATTGAGCAATTCCCCGCATTTCTTTAAATTACACGGGGTTCTTGTCCACTCGCGTTTTAAATTCTGATACAAGGAAACAACATCCTTGAGGGCTGCCATTTTTAATTTCGCCATGGAACATTAAAATGTCTGAGATGCGCGATCGGAGAAACATCCAGTTCTGCCAATTTTATGGAAAAATAAAAAAGAATTATGTAAAATCTTGTCATTGGATGGAATAACGTTTAATCGACCAATCAGAATATAGGAATTTTTTCCGTTTTTCCTGATTGGTCAATTAAACGTGTCATCTCGACATATTATAATAGCATCAACCAATCAGCGAATTTCTGACAAAGATAGCGATGCTACCAACATATACCTGTCCTTTTCTACGAATTTTACATCGTTCCCCCACCCTTGGATATTTACTCCACATGCGTGGAGCTCAATGGAATGTATGGTTCACTTGCGGCGTACTTTACGACGCGATTCGGCCGAGGCGCAAAGATCTTTACCGGCCTTCAACTTCCTCTTCCCGTGACTGGATACAATGGCGTCCGGAGTAAGTGGCTTTCACGCGGCTCTTCACCGGTCGGCATCCGCGTCGTGACGCGTCGATGCCGTCATGGGATTAACGTAAAATGAAACCTCGTACGATGTACCATTTATTACATTATGGATTTTTTCTTTCAGACTTTATATACGTACCCGGAAAATTTCCGTGCCTACAAGGCCTTAATAGCCGCACAATTCTCCGGTGCTCAAGTCAAAGTCGCCGAGGACTTTATATTCGGCGAGACCAACAAGACCGAGGCGTTTTTAAAAAAGTTTCCGCTGGGAAAGGTAAGCCGGGCGATTTCAATCGCGCTCCTCGCAAAATCTCTTTATTGTTTGCAATACACTTGATATGCTTCTGTAACACATGGTGAGAAAAGTTGCAAAATACTTTGTTATTTGATGAAGCTAAATTATTATTTAAACAATTGTTTGTTAAATGCATCGTTTTACAATTATATTTAAAGTTTTATACATAAAGATTTAATGATTCATATGGTATTATATTGACATATTTTTTCATTTCTTCATGTATGATAGAATTAGATTTATGTATGATACTAAGTAGTATAATATAGTAAATAATTTTTAATTTTGCATAAGAAATTAAATTCTGTATAATTATTCACATAATTCATATAATGATACTTGATTATCTCTGTATAATAAAATGCTATATATCTTTATATAATATCCATATAAAAGAATGTCATTGTGAATATTTGCAAATATTCTTTACGCTATGTTCTCTTATTTATTCATATTTACTATATAATCATATAACCACATTAGAGTAAATATATAATACATTTTTTATGTACATTACTGTTAGAATAAATAATTGTAAAAAAATTTTGCAGTAATGATATCATTCTATAAATATTTCACAATACAATTATATTCTTAAATATTCTATCTAGTTAAAATCTAGGAATTATTGTAAAAATTGGAAATATTGTAATATGTATGTAATTTTCAGGTTCCAGCATTTGAAACAACCGATGGAAAATATATTACAGAAAGCAATGCAATTGCTTATTATGGTAAGACTGAGAAAAAATTATTTTGAGCTATTTATATGATCTATTAATTTCAATATGTGTATTTATTTATTTATTTATTTATTTTAGTGGCTAATGAACAACTCAGGGGAAAAACTGATATTGAACGTGCATTGATCATTCAATGGCTTGGCTTTGCTGATTCTGAAATTCTTCCTGCCAGTTGTGCTTGGGTATTTCCTCTACTTGGAATAATGCCATATCACAAGCAGGTATTAATTGCATTTGTTATTTGATTTTGCATACATAGTTACATATATCCTCCTACAAAGGCAAAATTGGCGAAATTGTATAGCCATTCTTTGTAACTCAAAGAGGTAGATTAACTCTGGGTGTATTGAATTTACACGTATATGTGTCAAATGCATATGCTTTTAAAATATTCCATACATTTATAATGACAGGTTTATTTTTATGCAATTGTACTAATTACAAACATACAAATATTGCCAAATTATAATAAAGTATTAATATGGCTAGTTAATTAAATTTATATGATTACAAACATACAAATATTGCCAAATTATAATAAAGTATTAATATGGCTAGTTAATTAAATTTATATGATTGCTTTTAGACTGTTGAGCATGCCAAGGAAGATATAAATAAAGCACTCAATGCTCTGAACTCACATTTACTTACGCGGACTTACTTAGTAGGAGAGCGATTAACTTTGGCAGATATCTGCGTAGCTATGACATTGTTACATCTGTATCAGTATATTCTTGAACCAGAGCTGCGTAAGCCTTATTTGAATGTAAATCGATGGTTCCAAACAGTTATCTATCAACCTGAATCTATTGCTGTAATTGGTGCCTTTAAATTGGCGGATAAAACTATTGAATATGATCCTAAGAAGTATGCAGAAACTCAGGGAAAGGTATTTTACTTAAAAAATATATAAATTATATATAAATAAAGAAAAAAAAAGAGGAAAAAATAATTTCATAACTATTATAAATTATCTATTATTTTACTTAGAGTTCGAAAAAAGAAAAAAAGGAGAAAGAATCTAAGAAGGAGACTAAAGAACCGAAAGAACCTAAAGAGTCAAAGAAAGAATCTAAAGCTGCAGCAGATAAGACTACAGCAGTAGAAGAGGAAGCTGACCCAACAGATGAGGCTTTAGCTGCCGAGCCGAAAAAGAAAAATCCCTTTGCTTCGATGCCTAAGAGTTCTTTTGACCTTGACGATTTTAAACGGTTTTACTCTAATGAAGATGAGTCTAAATCTATTCCTTACTTTTGGCAGAAATTTGATGCAGAAAATTATAGTATTTGGCTTGGTGAATATAAATACAACAATGAATTAACTAAAGTATGTAAATACTCTTTTCAATAATAAGAATTCGAAAAGTCAAAAAACATTGGATATCTTATTAATATTCATATCTTTCTTACTTTCATGTAGGTTTTCATGTCTTGTAATTTAATTAGTGGTATGTATCAACGGTTAGATTCAATGAGAAAAGGTGCATTTGCCAGTGCCTGTATATTTGGAGAGGACAATGACAATACAATCAGTGGCATTTGGATCTGGCGTGGACAGGACCTTGCTTTTACAGTAAGTGTTACACATTTAAGTGAATATTTAAGATATTTATAAATAATATATATTTACATATATTGTTTTTTTGTTTCCTGCAGCTAAGTCCAGATTGGCAAGTAGACTACGAATCTTATACTTGGACAAAACTGGATCCATCGAAGGATGAAACAAAAGAATTGGTCAAGCAATATCTCAGTTGGACTGGCACGGACAAAGAAGGACGGAAATTCAATCAAGGAAAAGTTTTTAAGTAAACTTTACTATATACATCAAATAAACCCTATTCGCATAAAAATAAACCACATAAAAATAAACCTGAAGGAAATGATAAAATATCAAAAAAGTTTACATATGTCCTTCGCAAGAACTCTAATAGAATAAACCGATATTCGGAATCTCATTCTCCTAAATATGTTCCTCTCTTCCTCTTGATCTCCATATATAAAATAAAATCTTTTATATACATTTAAATTTATTTTCTATAGTTTAAAAAACGTAAAAGTTTTAATGGATAAATGTTGGATATCATTTGCAAAATTATAATATTTTTAAACAAATTTTTTACTCATTTTGTATTCAAATTATTAGCATGTTTGATCATATCTATATAATTTTAATCAAAGTATTTTAATAAATGGAACGAAAATTATTGAATCTTTTCAGTAGGAAAAAAATGTATAAATTTATACAGAATGTATATAAAAAGAAAAAGTAAAAACAGATTGAGCTCTGTTAAGTTTATGGAAACTAATAATTTTATGATAAGAACATTGTACACATATATATATATTTGTTATGGTCAGTAATTACTTATTGTAACAATGTGTGAGATTATATTTATGTACACATTTATATACATAATCATTCATTTTAATTAAAAATTGTTTAATGTATGATATATATGTATTATATACTTTTAAAGTTTTAATATACGTAAATAATTTTTTGGTATCATGCAAACATATATTTTCACAGAAATAAATATAATGTTAAGACAAAAAATAATTATTTTATTAAGCAAAAAAAGGTTAAATATTCTTTATTTAAATGAAAATTGTATGAAACCGTAAGTAATTTTGAATAAATAACGCAAATATATTTCATAACAAAGATTCACTGTTTATTACATATTTAAATATGTCATAACAATTGATTAATTAAAATATCTTTTTCTGATTATTTTTAAAATCCTTTTATGTTCATCCAGTCTTTAATGCGATTAACATAGTCACCTTTATATTTAATTACACCTGAAAATTCATGTATTTGGCTAGGAGGTGCTACTCTTAAACGTTTCTTTAAATATATTTTTATATCGTGATCCAATTCCCATATATTTCCTTGAATATTTTTAACTGTTGTGAGTCTTCTCATTCCTCTGTGTGTTATACCTAGATATACAGGTTGCATATGATTTCTGGTACGTTGTATGAAATAGGGATAATCCGTGGGTGACGCTGTTAAAAAAACAAAAATAGGCAAAATTCTTCAGAGACATAAAAGGAGATTGAAATGTATGTACAGTTTGTATAAAAAAAGGAATACTTTAATAAAATTTATTTAATGATTATTGCTTACCACATGCTGGTTTATAGCCAGATGGCAATTTAACATCTCCAGTGGGTGGTTTAGGTACAACTTTATATCTAAACAAACGCTCTACATATTTCCATTCATTTGGATCATTTGTTATTTCATAATCTGTGTAATTTTTAGAATCAGTGTACGTGGGAGATGATTTATAGCTGCTCCATCTCCGTTGAATCTGAAATGTGAAGATTATGTATAGTAAACTATGTACACATGTTGTTGCAAGTTTTAATAATTAGCTTTATTGTATATATTAAATATTGCAATTTATCAATATTAATACATAAGAAATTTATCATATTAATTTCAGTAAATTTTTAAAGAATATAAACTTTTGTTCATAATGTATAAAATATTTAATGTAAAAATTTTAATACACTATGCAATATTAACCATCCTATTGAGTAATGTGCAACTGTTAGAGCGTATAATAAAAGACAATAATTAAAAAAGTAACAATAACAAACTTTTTAAACTTTAATTACAACTTTTGTAACTATATATACAGTTTAATCCCTTTTTTTAATAAGTTTAATCCCTTTTTTTCAATTATGTAAATTTGTAGAAAGACTTTATATATAAATTTATATGTATAAATAATATCTCTAGGTTAGTAAAACATCCGTTTAGAAAATGCGCAGTATTTTTCCATAATCATTAATTGAATTTTATCCGTCATTAAATTACAAGTCGGATCAACAAACCGCGTTGGACTGTGTAGATAAACACGATAGACAGAAAACGAGTCACGCTTAGAGACCTTAATCTTTTCTCGCGTTTGAAATGATCGTCTCATGATCTTTCGTCGCGCATTTATCGAGCGCCGGATCGACGGATGTGACATCCGCGGATGATTTCGAGGACAAGCACGCTTACGACTACTAGTAATAACGAGAGAGGCCCTTCGGCCCGTATCTCGTCGCGCAGATAATTATACGGTTACAGGGCGAGGAGCCGCGCCTCGAGATCTGGTCGAGGGATCTCGCGCGTACCTGAGGGAGCACGAGGGCGACGCGCGACGTCGCGACGTGACTCGACGTCCGCGCGGAATTCAGGATCGTCGCGAGGCTCTCGCGTGCGAAAATCCGAAGGGCGGCCATTTTGGGTACTCGGGTAAATATAAGGGTCGGCAGCCGCCATTGATGCGCACCGCGCAACGGGCGCGTCTTCCCTCTCGCATTCTCTTCTCGCGACCGACCGACTCGACCGATCCATCTACCTATCGCGAGAGTCCTCGTATCGCGGGACTATCCGACTCGCGCCGCGCGTCATCCACCGCGACGTTTTCATTCTCGCTCGATTCGCGAGTCGCGGGCTCACGAATAGCAGAGACGACGACGACGACGACGACGCTGACGACGTCGACGACAGGCAATTCCGATAGGTAGGTGATCGCGTCCGCGCGCTACGAGGCTAAAATCCGCGCTCGGAACGCAGTCGAGTTAACGCGCATGTACTGTAGCGTTGGAGCTGGACTGGACGAGGTGAAGTGAGGCGGGGTGCGACGCAGACGGGCAGGGAAACTCGCTGTCTCGCGGTGCTCGACGTCGCGACGGTGCGCGGGTTCTCTCGTTTTCCCCCCTCGGACTCGCGCCAGGAACCGGCGCGGTCGCGCTCCGTCCTATTTCGGCCGGACGGGGGTGCAGTCCGGCGAAGTGACGCGCCTTCGGCGCGGCGTTATCGCGAACGGACTATGCTTCTGGGAGAAGCCGCGCGCCACGGCCGCCAGGTGGCGACAGACGAAAGACAGTGGGACGGCGCATAGACACCCTGCAACGGGATTGTCTCTTCTACGGGGATCGTCGTCCGCGATTTTTCTCGCGATCACCACGGACCTACGGCAAGATTTTCAGTCCCCGAGGTGAGTACTATCGCCGGGCTTCTCGGAGGACCCACGATCGCCCGTCACCGGGGCGTCGCGGCGTCGCGCTGGAGCCTCGAAAATCCGAGCCGTGCGTCCGACCTTTTGTTTATTCGTGGCGATTTTTTCGCGACGACTTGTCGCGACGATTTCGCGACCTTCCGCCGCGATCCCGGTCGGATTTCCCGGCCGGGCAGTTAGCGTGTGACACGCGCTCTCTCGCGAGCGCGAAATCGTCGCGATCGGGTGGACGCGAGCCGAGATATCGCGCGAAATATTTCAGCCGCGCCGCGAGACGGGAGAGCCGAGAGCGCGCAGCGAGCGAGCGAGCGAGGCGCTCCGCTCCGTGCATCCGTGTGTTAACGCAAACTTTGTCACGTAATTTTTCTGGTCGCCAGGGCCGCATCTATTCGCTCGGCTCGAAAATCGCGTGTGCTTTTTCTCGACGCCGCGTATTTCTCGCCCACTCTCGCCTACCTCCTTTCCCTTCCCTTTCCTTGTTCTCCTATCGTTAACGGAACGGAATTTCGATTACTAACTCGTAACGAAAAACGTGTCGACGTCCACGTGTTTCGTTCTCCAAACTTTTTTTTTAATATTAAGTTTTGTATTTATATTATATTTATGTTTGTATAGTTTTATTTATTTCTTTTTTTTCTTCCTAAATGGACATTTATAATAATATATGCAATATTTTTTATATAATATGTATTTAAACTTTGATGAAATTTTTGACTCTTCTTTTTTATTAATTTTTAAATATCTCCGGATTGAATCATATACAATGAAATAATTTTTATTCAGTCAATGGTAAAGAATAATTTTAATATTTTGTAAATTTTGATATAACGTTAAAAGTATTTCTTTCTAGAAGATGTAAATGATATTACAGGAGCCCAATGTGGGTGGAAGTGAGATGGCATCCAGGGAAAAGAAACCCTTAGCGCCTTCCAAATCGAAACAGAAGGCGAATAATGACTCTGGTTTGCCATCCAATGAGGTCAAGAATAAGAAAGGCAGGTCATTGCCGAATATAAAGCAGCAGCAACTTACGCAAGAGATTTTTGATACAGTAGCAACAGGTAGTCAGGTTCCTGTTAAACTAGAGGCGAGCTTGCCACGCAGGAATGCCCTTAAAAATCTGAAGCGCAAACAGAATCTAAGAGCAACTAAGGTAAATCTCATTAAATCCAAGGTTACCAGGAAAGTGACGAACAGAAATATACGCAGAATAACTCCTGACGTTAAGAAAGGTGTGAAGACGAAAAAAATTAAGCAATCAGACGAGTCGACTGTCGATATCTCTTCGAAGATCTCGGAAAATCAGACAAACAATAAAGACAACGAAAGCAAAGGAACTGAAACACCAAGTAAAAGTGCCAAGAACAATCTCAGGACCAAAAAAATCAAATCTGACATTCAGAACAAAGAAGAGGCCAGTGCTACATCTAGCGTTAAAGTTAGTGCAAAACTTGGCAGGAAGGGAAAAGCGACAGAAAGTCCTGACTCTTTGTCCAAGAGTGCCAAAACAACAAAGTTGACAAATTTGAAGAAGAATACCAAGGACAATTTCATCAAGGTTGCAGAGGACAACAGAGATTTGCATAAGAGTGCAAAGGGCAGAAAGAGCAGTGGCAAGGAATCAGATTGTGGTAGCGTAAAAAGCAATTCCAGCGTTGAAAAATTTCCAAAGGCAATTTTGGATGACAAAAATTCTATTGATCTTACTATAGACGAAGTTATTGCTTTTTCAATGTTGAGTGATTCTGAAACTGAAAATCAGAGCGTTACAGAGAAGACTGAGGGAAAAGTAACAAGGAGTAAGAAGATGTTGGTGGATGAAAACATTGCCTGCGACATTGAAATAAAGAAAGAGCCTGAAACCGATGACATGAAAGTTACATCGGATGGAGAATATACAGAGACGGATCAAGGTTTCCACTTTCAGAATGCTATTCAATTGAGAAAGAGATCGAAAGTCGGTTATATCGAACAAATATCTCAAAGAAGCTTGAGAAATGGAAAACAGCGACAATTATCAGATTCGGGGAACTCCGCGGATAATGATTCTAAAAAGCGTCATAGATTAAATTCGGATGGGACTATTATCTCGGATAATTTAATAGAACATATCTCGGATTGTAATACAAATATGGATCCTTGCTTTGCGGATCCCAGTTGTAATGAATCTCAGACTGCATCGAGTAAAGAGGAGATTTGTTTAAAGGATGAAGTGTCCAAGAGTTTCGACGAGGAAACTGATGTCGGATCGGAAATGGAGAACAATAATAATAGTGATCGTGTAGATAGAACAGGTGAAACGGGCCCGACATTGCGTTCTAAAACTAAAGCTAAAACTATAGAAAACGAAGCAACAAAAGATGACGATGTTAAAATTGAAGACACGCGGATAACATCCAAGTGTGCGGAAGCACAGGAGGATTCAAAGAAGCTTAATAATTTAGATCAGGCGAGAAAGGATTGTATTTTAGCCAAACTTACAGATAAATCGAAAAGTCGTAGGAGTAGTTTAAACATAGATATGAAAAAGACAGTGAATTCCTTTTACAATTCAGATAAATCAGATGGTAATTCAAAATCGCAAATAGATCAAATGATTGAGAATATTAAATTAAATATTGCAAAATCTATCGAGAGTAAGATATTTGGTCCCGAGAAGGGTCTTGGATTAAGTAAAAACTTCGATGTGCCCAAAATCGAAGAGATTGTCGCGCCACTCAGTACAGATTCCCAGAAAATGGGATTGGAGGACAGTACCGACGAGGACAGATCCGCTGTTGCGAAAAACGAGATCACGTCAGATAGCTCGGAGAATTCAGTACCAAAAGTGGCCGATACTGCCAAAGAGATTGAAGAGAAACTAGTCAAGTCTGATATTGGGGAAGCAGAGACGCATTCGCAAAACATCCAGGAGAACAGGGCCTCCGATAATGACAGAATTAATAATGTACATAATATTTGTGAATCTACATGTAATATAAGTAATAATAGTACTGCATCTTGCAACAGTATGGATGAATCGGAAGTCGAAAGCGTTGGTTGTAGCACAGCCAGCAGTGCTTCGGTCAGTTGCGATGATAATGAGTCGAAGACTTTGGACGAGAATAAAAAGATCGCTACGAGAAGGTCTCCGAGGATCAGTGATAAAAGTTTAGACATCAGTAATTCCGATGCGAGAAAATCGAACAGGACACCGAGTAAAGCAATTTCGAGATTGGAAGATATTTCTGCGGAACATGTACAAAAATCTACGAACGAGGACACAATTTTAGAGGATGCTGCACCTCGTCAGCTTTCAGATGATAATGCTACAACTGCGCTAGTACCTGCATATTCTTCTCGGGAAGTAGAGGAGAGATTTACGGAAAAGCACGCAGAAGCGAAAGAATTAGAAACTTCTCTAAGCAATTCGGAAGATTCGGAAACGCTGGAAAGTATATCTCTCGAGGTAGAGAGACTAGTTGCAGAAGACCAATCTGCCAAGTCATCATTACCAAACGCTACAAACGATACATCGCTAAGCAAAGAAATAATTTCTGATACAATGTTATCGGATAAGGAGCCAATGATCCAGCGTGTAAATAAACAGGAAGCATCCGCTTGCTGCAACGAGAGTTCTATGTTAGAATCAGCTGCCAATACTGTAAACGAAATACCAAGCGAAAGCCATGCGGATAGCAATCTTGCCGATGCGAACGAAACATTGCAAGAGAACGATGCTTCCTGCAAAACAGCGCAAAGCGCGAAGCATTCTAAAACAAATAACGTATCAACCACCGCAAACTGTGATTCAAATAGCGAATGTAGCTCTGTAAATTCTGTGCCTGTACGCATGTGCACTCCCATTTCTTGGCAGAACGATGAAACCAAGAACCTCGACGCGGATAACGACTGCAAAGAACCGGGCAAAATCAGCGATTCAATATCAAGTTTGGACGAAAATGTTTTGGAGTCAAATTCGGAATCTAACAAAACGGATTCAAGCAATAAATCACCAGACAATAAAGATTCTGAGGAACAGAAACCTGTGAATGAGAAGAAAAGAGCGTTACGAGCTCGTGATAAGCAGAAGAAACAACAATCTGCGTCTCGCGGTCGAGAATACGTCGATGGCGTAAAAGTCAAGGCTGAGGAAGCTGGCGTTCAAAAGACGCAAAATTCCCCTTTACAGGGCGATACCGACAAGACGCCGCAAAGTTCATCAGTATTGGACGAGACTGTCGTTTCCGAAGATTCTCAGAAGATTGAAGATACGGGTGATTCGCCCAATAGCAATGAATCGGATGACATTCCCGAGTCCCAAGCCCGTAATACTCGTCGCAGTAGAGACATCAAGAGGCGCAAGGAAGAACCGTCGTTATCCAGTAGCTCCAAGACTAAGCGCGTCAAGCGAGAGTCGCGAAAGTCCGATCAGCAGAATAAAGAAGAGACTCTTCTGGATAACGAGGTCGCCAAGATTAACGAGAACAATAGATCGTTCTTGAACAAGTACGACGGTGCCGAAGTATCCCCCCGTACGGGTCATATAATCCATGAATTTCTCAAGGAGCAAACCAGACTTGATAAGAAGGGATCTAATGTGCGCAGCAAATCGGAAAACGATTTAACAATTGTTGGCGCAAAAAATTGCAAAAGCGCGAAACGACAACTCTCGCGAAACTTGTCTGAGAATCACGTGTCAAAGCAGACGGCTGACAGTATAGATATCCTGGAAAATGAATGTAAGAGTCCCAAAATACCGGAGCTGGTACAGAAGGATTCCGACGAGACTTCTACATCTGGCGAATCGTCTAATAGCGATATGCCAAAGATCCTGGAAACACCTGAAGACAAGGAAAGAAAAGAGTCGATCTTGCGAACGTTGGGACTGGAATCTCTGGAAGAAGCTGCGAAGAGAGTGCAAAATCAGCAAAAAATTAAAAAGGAGCAATCGTCAGGTACTTTGAAAACGATTATCAAGGTAACGCAAAAGGAGAAGGATAAAGATAAACGAGGATCGCGATCTCCATTAAAGATGATCCTCAAACAACAGGGTCGTGGAGATGGAGAAGGGGATTCACCCGAGTTTTACACCATTCAAAAGGAGGTAAGAGAATGATTTCGCATGCTTTTTGATCTATTTTATTCACTCAATGAATGTTGTTCTTATCGATTTCATGTTTTTTCCTCTTCACGTTTAATTTAAAACCGCTGTAATATCAAATTGTCGATCGATCATGGCTCAAAGCGATTTCTAGTATACAATTTATTATTGCCTTTTTAGAGATTTATACATTTGGTTTCATAACGCGCGCATTCGTTTAATTTCTGCAGCGTGCATGAAAGGCAAAGATTTAAAAAATATATCGATGCGGGTGTAAACTTTAATGGGTTTATTTGACATTATTATTTATACGTATATATTTTTTACAATCGATTCAATTATATTTTGTTTCCTTTTTTTTCAGTTTGGAACCAGTGGTTTGGGAGATAGCAGCTCTGGTGCGAACCGAAAGTTCACTACTAACCACAGACACTCTTGCGGTAATCCTGGTTGCGGGAATAACTAAATTGATAATCTCACTTACTTTTCCTTCATCGCCTTTTCCAAAAAAAAAAAAATTTTATACTTTATTTTCAAGTTAAATTAAGCGCGCGATTGTATACATCGAGATTAGCACAGTGTAGTCGGCTATTTTTCACATTTTTATCTTGGATGTTTTGAAAATAGATTATTAATATATTCGAAATATCGTGTTAATCGCTCGATTTATATTCTCACATTTTTTGTTCACAATTTTTAAAGCTATTCGCTATGTGTCTAATGTAATTAAAAAAAAGTAATATGCACTAATCCGATGCGAAGTATTACGTAACACTTTATGTATTTCAGACCACTAGTTCCAAAAATTACACTTACACTAGCTAATATTTTTTATAACAATGCATGCTGAAGAATGCTATTGCTTTTCACCTATTACATTCTCACTAATATCTCTCTAATATCGACGTCTTCACATTATCTAAGTCGGAAGATGAGTTATATATTTAACATTTAATAATTCGCTAATTTTATCATCACAGATGACGATAATGAAGACGCTACACCTAAGGATCGTCAGTCGCTTGTCATTCCAGAGAAATCTTCCTCTTTTTCTATACATCCCGGACGTGTATGTTCCGACGTATGTTCCTACTGCTTTGGCAAATTCGGTTCGCTGGATACGCCAATGCACTTAGCACAAATAAAATCCGACGAAAGGCGAAAGAAGATCTTAAACTTGGAGAGACATCTTACAAAAGATTCGTGTCTATGCGATGCGTGCTATCGTCACGTTGATAGAAAGGTTCGTTGCTCCTCGACAAATGACAATAATCACGCGAATCGTTATATCACTTGTAAATTATTAACTCTCTAGATGTATATATAATTGATATAATTCTGATAGACAATTTATCGTTCTCCTAGGCGAACACTAGTCCGGCAAATATGCAGCAAAAGCCGCAGAAGCAGCACAGACAATTAATGGTATCAAAATGTTCGGCTCGCGAATGCCGAGATCCTGCGCGACATCACGTTAAACGTCGTTGGTTGCTCAAGATAAAAACTGCTCTACAAAATCAGGTTAGTATTTGTGATCTAAAAATGCTCATGTTAATGTTATTTTGAATGGCATATATCGTTTGCATTTGCAAATGAAAAATATTATTACAGGTCGACATAGATTGGGAGTCGTCTCAGCACACCACGATGTCGTTTTGCGTTAATCATTACGAAAAGATTGGGCGCTTTTTGACATGCGCACTGTGCAAACGCCGACTAGCACGAACGCATACCCATCAACTGACTAGCGCGGAGATTGACGAATTAAATCAGCTAATCGGTCAGCAAGGAATTCACGTTACACTAACAGCCGGCACATTTGTATGTAAACTATGTCGATATTTTACCCAAGTGCAACTCAAGTATAAGGATCTCGAAAACATGAACGTGAATCACAGAAACTTCTGTAAAAGTTATCGAAGGCGGTAAGTATACAAGCTACTTCGAGAAAATCCGTTGAAGAAACGGAAAATTGAAGAAAAATGCTTTTCGATAATGCAGGATCTTGCATTACCATGGAATCGAAGTGCCCGACGAGGAGGACGATGATTCATCACAGCAGGCGAATCAGGTCAAGGACAAGAAAAGTAAGAAGAATACCAAAAGCGCGCAGCTTAAGAGCGGGAGTTCCAAGTCCCCGGAACACATGACGAGCGGCACATCAGAGAAGTCGACGCCGGAACCGAATAAGAACGAGGGTGTGGGATGTCCAAGCTCTTGCGAGATGAGTGGCGAGAATCGCGTCGCAAAGACAAGCGGCGACGAAAACAGTGGTACAGATATTCAATATCTTAACAGTATCGAGAGCGCTGTGGAGAATTTGAAGAAGCGTAAGATACTTGACATGCATACGTACACATCGACGGGCGACGGCGCGACGACGGCGAATGAAATGGTTGAGATTCTCGGGATGGATAACGAGGTTACTCTGACGCGACTGCCGAAGAGGCCGAGACTCAATAATAATAACAACAATGACATAACGCCCGTGGTGCAGAGACTTGGCGCGAATCCCTCCATAAGCGTGCGCACGCTTTTCCCAGGCGAGGAGGAGATGAATCTTCACGTCAACATTGAATTTCAAAACGTACGCGAAGTAACGCCGCAGGGATGGGAGAAGTGCGCAACAATGATTCAATACGATCGCGAAACCAAGCATCTCTGGCAGCAATTGCAGCGACCGTACGGCAATCAGAGCTCCTTCCTACGACACCTCATCCTTTTGGAGAAATATTACAGGGCTGGCGATTTGATACTGGCGCCAAACGCTTCACGAAACGCGATCAACTACTCTACATCGGTGCAAAACAGATTGATATCGTATGAAGGCCCAGAAAAGATGGATGAACCGATAATGGAACCGATCGCAGCGGAATACAATTCGCGTCGTTTAAGCGGCGGCTATGTGCTGGAAAAGGATAGACTGTCCGTTCCCGGCACAAGTTCGATGTCCAAACCAGCCACTAGCGGCAGCGGTGCGATGTCATCGCATTCAACGAAAGTGAATTCGCCGCGGGTGCTCAAGCTCAACTCGGGGGTGTCGATTATCAAGAAACCGCCGCCTAATTTGCAACGATTAAATCTGTCGTCCACTAGCGGCAGTAGCGGAGTGGTCGGTACCACAACGAATGGTGGCGTTAAGCGGAAGGATGGACAAAATGTATCTTCTTACGGCGGCGGCAGCAGCAAAGTATTTCAATTGAGCGAATCGGACCTAAAGCGGATGCAGACGCTCAACAAACGGCAGAAGCCTAGCGACAGACAGTTTGGTGCCGGTACGAGTAACGGATCGAGCTCACCGACCAGCGGCAATATCAGATCGCATTACCAGAAGACGCAGATCGCTACGATTCCCGGCCACAACCAGCAGTTCCAAAGGCATTTGCGGATGCAACAGGAGATGCTGAACCGTCAGAGCCGCGGCGATTTCGAGCCGCTTATCTGCGACATGACGCGTTCCGCCGCGAACGAAAACAACCCTACCGGCCAAAATCTCATACACAATCTTAATCTACCCAAATCGATCCAAGTGACGACCAAGCCGACGACGTCGTCAACGAGTAGTCCGATTCCGATTTTGCCCAAGATCCCAAAATCATTGACAGTAATACCGCAGACCGTCACGAGACCCGCTGATAAATGAAAGAACGAGAGACCGTAAGTAGATTACATTGTTGAGCATACAGTTTCTTCTCTTCTTTTTTGAAGGAGGAGACGCGGTGCGGCGAATACGGAAAATCGATTACACGTGTGCTTTTTTTACGCACCCGATCGAAATTATCGCCAAAGCAAAATAAGATATTGATGATGATCGATGCTCGGAGAGCAGTTTTTGCCTTACGTGAGCGCATCGTGGCATGCACTTACCGAGCTTAACGCTCAAAACATATACATACATATATACACGTAAATACATATATACATGTACACATGTATTGACACACTTTGATTTTACATTCTGATTAAGACAGATTATAGATGATTTATATTTGTTGCATTAATCATGATCACACAGACTTGTAGATAAATTAATAGAATAATTTTAACAAATTGAAACACTTCGATTTCTTTAACAATATTATATTAACAACCAAAGCATTATTATAAAAGTAACGAAAAATGTGTTGAACAATGCTGTTTCCATAAAAAATATCTAAAGTGAGAAGAGCGGAAGTTAATATTATCTTTAATATTATCTTTAATATTACGTAATTTTGCACAGTCATTACAGAATCATTACAGTCAATATGCAGAATCGTTTAGTAAATCGTTACAAACGGAGAGGCGGACATCTTTTGCGAAAAACTCGACATTTTTAATAAATAACTGCAATTAAAAAACTTAAAAATTCTACATGACTTTATTCTCTTTCAAGGTAAGTAACATAAACTTTTAAAGAGGTTGAGCATTTTTTTGTGAAATACACTGTATTACAAAAGATATAGATAATGATATTTATCTACCCCGAAGCAAAATCGTTTAATTGTCGATCATTTTCAATTAAGTAAATTTGCTTACTTTTATTTGAAATCCATTATTCCCGAAGATAAATCAAGAAACATTTTCTTGTAGCAAATTAAAAGAATCTTTTTGTTTGTGTGTGTGTGTTTTTTTTTTTCCTTTCCTATCATTAGATATCATCTCGCCGATTGTACATTATCGATTTATTGAACATCATGTATAAATAGACTTCATTATTTTAACAGCAATGTATAGATTCTAATTTAAACGTAATTTTATGTTCTTTTTTATATTTTTTTTACATTTATAATTGGGAACATGTAGTCAATAAAATAAGTAAAAGAGTAGGCTTTTTTACAATTCATCACGCAGAAAGATCTCAAATTATAAAGAAATTACTTTATTGAACTTGATTTTCTTAATTGATAAACTGGACATATCTATTTTTCAAGAACAAGATGTGAAGAGTATAAGTAAATTAAGAATAAGAAAGGGATGCATAAAATATTCAAATTCAATATATATATATATATTATATATATATATATATATATATATATGTACTTTGTATTTGAATCTTATGCCGATTTTTCACGGTAGTTTGTTCCTTTTATCACGTCTAAGAAAAATATTCGAATTCAAAGTTGTATATAAGCGATATTATACAAGTCAATATATTTTGTTTACGCAGATACCTTTTGGGCATCTATATGATAACGAATGTACATTGTAATATTGGCTTCCTCGATTTTTTTAAAACATAACAAGAACGTAATTAATTAAATAACGATCAGTTTAATCTAAACTTGGGTTTTAATAAACGCCATTAATCGCATTCTGGCATTCGACATCATCGTCACGTTTCGTTCCTGTTAACATATGCGAGATTCTCTTCGCACCGTTTGCATTAAACTGTCCGCAGAAAGTCCTTTCCATTCGCGTTATGCAAGAGAATGCGAAATAATCCTTCAAAACGGTTCGTAAAGTGTAAAGTATATCTTTAAAAGAAAAAAAAAGAAAGAAAGAAAAAATATAATTGTGCAATTTTTTTATGGGATATGAAAGCAAAATTCATACTTTTTCTACACTGCCCAAAATACATAAGAAAAAAAAATATTTCCCAGAGAGAGAGAGAGAGAAAATTAAATGACTTGCATGGATTTTGTTTATTTTGAAATCGTGAATGTTGAGCGTTAGTTTAAAAAAAATGATTTCTACTTGAAAATGATAGTAAAAATAAAACTGAGAGTAAGAAATAGAATAAAAATTGCCTTCTTAATTGGATAACGGAAAGGAAAACAGAAAGGAAAATTAGAAAGTGTGAATTTTGCTCGTATATTTCTTTGCATCATTGTAATATCTTGCACTAAAAATCATTGAAATTAAGTTATGAAAAAATTATTGCTATATTTTTTTTATCATGGGGAAAATACTTGCCGTTATATATTACTGATATAAAATATTATTGAAATTATTATTGTCGTATAATCGTTTTATTTTTATATATTTGAGCATTGTTCAACGAATAAAATACGAAATAGATTGATGCGTGTACAAAATTTTACGAGTTTTCACTTGCTTTACAGATCATGAAAGAATGTATTCATATATGTATTCTCCAATTTTATCATTCATTATTTAATCAAATATACAATTATAATCTCAGTTATATTTCTTATATTTGTCATTGAGATGTCATGAGATTATCTCAACTGCCTATAAATCAAGCAAAAATATGAGACATTTTACATTATCTTATAACTGTATATTTCTCTAAAAATTTTTTTTGCACACGCAAACACACATGAATGTTTTAGTATATAGTGAAATGTACTTGTACTATTTTAATTTTCCTTCGAGGTGTTTCATTTGTTTGTCAATCGTGGTTGCATAATAGATTTTCGATCGCCATTATGAAATAATAAAGTTTCTTAGAAAAATTATTACAAAAAAAAGTTTATGCAAGAGAATCTTATATCTGCAGAAGAAACGATATTCCTCCTTTCTCTAATCCAATTTAATATATAAATATTCCTTTCAAAATTGAAAAAAATAATAAATATTGTATACATTAAACAAACGTGCGAGATAGCGTTTTATTAAAAAATATCACCGAGCGATTAACGCTTATGTTCATACATTCAAAGCACACATAACACACAAACACATGTTTATATAAATGCACGCGTATGCGTGCGCGAATGTACGAATAAAAGCATAGGTATTACATGTATATTAATTATATATAATACCGCGTTATAAATAAAAAAACTATAAATATTATATATATATATATATATATATATATATATATATATATAAAGTACGTATGTAAGACGGTATACATACATTCACACACACACACACACGTGTTATACATATAAATGCTTTATTTTACTAAGGATATTTTTGATATATCTATATATAATAAATATATGTATATCGAATTGAAGGAAGGAATGCAAATCACTAGCGATATAGTGATCGATAAATATGATTATATTGTTATATTGGGACTATGCGAGGGTGTGGAAATCACAAAGAGCCGTAGGGTGGAGTGTGCCGCAAATATATATAATGACCATAAAACATAAAAACTAATTGTAACACACATAAAGATTGATATTGATTCACGTGTACATATGTCCCTATTTTGATTTTCATCATTCTCGCAATCAATGAAATTTCGACTTCTCGTGTAATTTGTTTGTCAACAAGAAATCACAGTGATTTTACATCTCGCTCAATGTTCCTTTTTCCATTTTTTGCTTTATACAAATTTGCTACCTGAAATATTCTTAATCGCATTTGACATTTAAATAAACACACGCGAGAAGGATAAATTCATCTGAGTGATATAAAGTACTGCGTGTTAATATTTAAGACTTGTTACTTTAAATAATCTCAATATAAATTACGATTATGATATCGCATAGCATGTGTACATAAATATTTATTATTTTAATGTAGGAAATGTTATTTTTTTTGTAGTATTAATTTCGAATTTTCTTACATCCTAGAATTTCCTTTTCAAAATATTGTAACATATTATCTTCTTGTATGACTTAGAATAATTCTTTCTTTATAGTTTTTATTACAGAATGATTCTTTATAGTGTTTATTACAATCCACATGGACGTAACGCTTATGTTCAACAAAAATTTGCGATCCTATGCTATTTAATTATACAAATCAAGTTATAAGAAATTTGACAAAACTTTCCTTTATATATTTCATATACATGTACTTTTTTTTTAAATTTTTGATCGTTCATACACAACGAGCGAATAAATTCAGGTTGAAAATGTACCCTCGAGATACATTATCGTGAGGGTAATTAAACGGTCGCTTGCGCTAATTTCACTCGAATGCTCGACATTGCTGATTTATTCGCCATTTGCACGCGCCTAATGTAAATCCATGGCACGCTCCACGATACGGCATCCGCCACGTATGCACGCGTGGATGCGACGAAGGAGGGGAAGAAGAGTTTGCGGATTGCGAACGAGAACTGAGTTTAAGTTTTAAGAATTCTATTTTTCTTGCTGTGCACAGAAAGTGTAAATTAAAAATCATAAACTTATCTCGAACGATATTGACTCTTGGAGATCGATCGTATCATTGTCCCCGATCCAATAATAATTGTTTAATATTATCATCCACACGGAAGTAAAATCAAATCATTAATTCTTCGAAAGAAAAAAACAGTTGCTTTCTATCGTCATTTATGGATAAGAAATAACTGATCTTTAAACATGTTTGTTGATTGTTTATTTGAAAAGTAAATCACAATAACACGTTTAAAGAAATTTTTTTCAGATGTATTTGGATGATACTTGGATATTTATTTATTTATTTTTTTTGTTTATAGGCAAAATGGCAGCGTTCGAGTTGTGTTTACTCGATCTCGATTGCTCAAGTGTTCAATTTAATCTCAAGGTAAAATTGTGGATTCTAAGAGTCAATAAACGTCCCGAGGATGTCGGAATGAGTGTAATTTCATTCCATTACAAAAATTATAAAAATGCGAGTGAATGAAGGCGCTGCTACGATAATTTGAATTATGTATGTTATCTATAATTAATTGCTATATGTAATATATCATGATTAGGTCACAGTTATATCAGGTTTAATCAGTGCAAGATTTTAAAGATGAAAAGCTGTGCTTTTACGTGTAAGTGTGTGTTTGTGTACGTTAAAAAGAGTGAGAAAAAGGAAATGCAAAGTAAACGATGAGCGTGCGATACAACGTACATGTGTAGAATAAATCTAGGATTAGGAGTGAAATTTTTATAATATATTATAATATTTTGTAATAATATATTATAATATATATTATGTATATATATTATATTATAATATATATTATGTATATACATTATAATATATACTATCATGTATATATACTAATATATATACTGTATATATATGTATTATTATGTATATTAATATGTATTATTCATATGTATTCTGATTTGCCTTTTTTCGTAAAAGAGGAAATGATGATTTGCAATATCACGAAAATCGAGTTTGCTCAATTGCCGCTGACTGTCCAAAATGTATGTATCGGAAATGTATCAATTGTGTTTACAATAGCAACAGCTTCGTTCACTCGCCGTTTCACTTTTTTAGTGACAAGGAATGCTAGCCGGGGATTGAAGTAAGTTTGGCGTGAAAGATAACCGACTTGTGTGACTGACAATCACTTTGGCAGCGTGGATTGTATTTTCGCTCTTAGGATTCGAATAACATAATCCTGCGTCCTTGTCGCGAAAAAAGTGAAACGACCAAAATGCGCGGCCTTGGCAACGAGCGGATCTCTTCGAGGAGAGCGAAAAAATGAGAGTGCAACTATGCAAACGCAAGTATGCTAACGCAAATATGTGATGGGAAATGGCGAAAGCGTCGCGTCATGCAAAATGTTTCGATGTTCTTTGCGTGTGCGTGGACGAGAATATTTTTCAGAAAATGGTGATATCTTGCCTCTCGCGAGAGGTGATATTTTATTAAAACACGTGGAAAAAAAACAAAAAAAAAAGAAAAATATGAAAGAAATCGTTGCGCAGTGTGTTTGAAGAGAAGCAATAAACGCGCACTTCAGTTTTACGCGAGTCGAGCCTCTCGAGGACATGTATGATGTTTTATTGTATTAACGCGTTCTTAGATATCTCGGAGACACATCGAGCTTGGTCTTTTTGTTTCTCGCCTTGGGCGGAAATTTCCCCGAGGAAAAAAAAGATATCAAGGTGGTGACCGCGAAGCGAATCAGACAGGAAAAACTGCGTTCCCGCCTCTCTTTTCGATATTCTCTTCTCTCTCGACCACGAAAAATTGTGTTCAAAAATTTAGTATCGCGGTGCCGCGGCTTAATCGCAGAAACTAGGCGAGGTCGTTCGCAAAAGGTTGAGAGAGTGAACAGTGGAATGGACGGATCTTAATCTCCATCCCTCTTAGAGAAATCGCAAATATTAGTTTAACTTTAATTAAAACTCAATTTTTGTGTGAAGATTTTTTGTATCCTTTTCGTGCTCGACTGGAAAAAACAAGTTGGACCAACGTGAATCCTTTTGCTCTACATTCTTTCGATTTTCGGGTACCTGGCAGGAATATGGGTAAATTCTTTCTTTTGCGCTTTTTAAGTAGTTAAAATATTTATACCTTGCAGATATTATTTGAACATCCGGAAGAAAAATACGCGCAAGTAAGGATTGATTCACATTCGATCCATATTCAAGTCAGGTACTTTGACGAATAAATTATCGAACGTATGAGTGAAACATTGCGTAGATGATTAGCGATCGTGTTTGACTGAATGATGCGTCAACTTGTTTGTGCGGTCGATGAGAATACAAAAAATTCCCTCTCTCTTTGATTTTTTTGTATATTTATTCAGTAGTAATTTAGTCCAGAAAATATTGCGTCTGGACTAAAGTAACGTCACACGGTATGTCATACATCACCGTGTAGATGACGAAACGCACAATAACACGTAACGCGGGATTCGAGTGTGTTTTTGCGTGATCACGACGTGCCTCGTTTCGCTCTTTTCGGCCGAAGCGTTCATTATGTTCTTTAAACAATCATGGGGATGTCATCTTCCAAAGCGAGGAGGAGACTTTTACGAGTCCTGTAGGAGATCTACACGGCGACTTATAATGATTTAGGCCGACCGTGACCAAAGCGCGAACCAGGGATCGATTCGCCGGGATTGATCGCTGTAAGATATAATCCATTGGTTAAGATTTATTGTCGTTAGGGTAGAGATTTATCAGCGCGCAATCGAGACTCTTGTCGCGACTTGTGCTTTTAAATAAGATTAAGATTATTATTTTAAGATTTACATCGCGAGAAAGATACTCTCTTGCGCCTTGTGTATCAAATCTGCGATTAATTTTACGCGCATTCTTTAATTCAATTCTACGTGACAATATAACGCTTAGAATTATTACATTAATATTATTACGAGAGCGTCTCGTAAGGAACGAATTATAGATCCCAAATGTAGTAGTCAATCTCCAAGAATATACTACTTATGTTGAAATGGCAAATAACTGGCGATATCTGGTACCGGTTTCTGACTGAGAGTTATCCCCGGGCCCACATTAGATAAAGGCAACGATCTCGAACGACGGAGGTTCGAAGCAATAATCGTGATAGACGAATAATTTTCGCTTTTTGAGAGAAAATTCTTTTAGCAGCATCATCGAGAGAAGCGGCAAGAAATTTTCGGGGTGTATCGCGAGCGAGCGTGAAAATGATCTTCGAGAGGAGTGACGGAGAGGCACCGGGTGCCAAACGGGATAAGCGGGAGAAACCATCCCGTCTGTACGTTCAGAGCCTTTTCTCCGTCTCTGGTCTCGGTGCAGTCTGATCCCTATGCTCATATACATAGACACAACACATACACGGTGTTACAACTATTATGTTATTTAAATTAATATTAACACACGGTTATACTAGCATGATAATCCTTTGTTTATTTAGTTTTTAAGCGTAATAGTTATATTATTAGTTTCATCCTTTGTATATATTTTACGGAAAGCATCAATAAAAAAAAACAATAAAAAGAACAAAAAAACCACTAAAAAGTGTGTGCAACCTTCCATTTCATTACCACTGCCATGGAGATCTGCATAATGTATATGACGCAATGACAAATAAATATTGTATAACACAAATATGATAACATTGTAATTTTTTTCTTTCTTTGGACGCATATTTTTTTCTTAATTATTGAGAAAGTGACGGGGAAAATTGAAGACAAAGATTGTTTTTGCAGTTTATTTGCAATTTGTTCATATAATTGGTAACTGATCTCGGATATAACTAGTACTAAAAAAACCTAAACAACGTATGAAATTTTATACATAGCTAATTATCTTAGTAGTGCTAAGGCGACTATTTACATGTAAACGCATTGAGCCGTTTTACGCAATGTATATCGTCAGGTGTCGGGAGATGATACACGCGTGAGTTTCGTTATCCGTATACACATTGCACACGGTTCACGGAAAACTTTGGCCCAGGCGTTCCGAAGGAAGTTTGGATCTATCTGCGCATTTAACGCGCGCCCCAGACGTATTGCCACGGAATTTGTCTTTACCCATATGATATTTCACTTTTATTTTTATTTCCAACTCTCTTTCGGAATATTGGATTGTTAAAAAATATTAAATGATCGAAAATAACGATAGGTATCGTAAAAACATGTTTTTAAATCGTAAACTAGTCTTTCCTAATTGACCTAATGTGTAATATCTCGAAAGGATATGAGATTTTATTCTCGAGAAGAAATTTTCCATTTTTTTGCGTTGGAGAGACTACGCACGTTTTATTTTGCGACGAAGATAAAAGTTTATATATGAGAAGTTTATTCGAGAGTTGAATAACATATATATTTGTTAATCGATGTGACATGGGTGACAAATCGTTATCCAATTCCTTTTAGCACTTTTTGTGAAGAATAATAAAATAAATTAGAAAAAACGGAGGATTGCATGAATGTGATTGCCAACCACGAATCAAGCGTGGCTGTTACTTCGATAACGAGCATTGGTACCAATAACTATAATAAATTGATACATGATTTCTCACATCATGCATAATTTTAAATAATAATTAATGTAATCATACATTGCGACTTTGAGGAATATATTTCACAGTACCGCGTTTTCATAGTTTTGAGCATTTTTAATTTCGCGACATTAAAATGCAAACATATATATATATATATATATATATATATATATATATATATATATATATAATGAAAAAGAAAAATTATTCATGTGTGACAAGTAATTTAAGTCAAATAATTAACAAACGCATTTTCAAATCAAACAATACAACAAACGCGGCAGTGTCTAAATCATATAAAAATCATTGATAAAAATTATTGTGATAAAAAACATTAGCAAATATTAGGAATGAAAATATTGCACTATGCAGAAAATTCATTAAAAGTTATGAAAAATATTCGAACGATCCAACTTCAAACACACTGTTTGCAAATAATATTAATATCTTCTTAACATGTAACTAAATCAAAGGCGAGTTTAATTTCGATCAAGATAGAAAGAAAAAAAACCAAAAAATATTTCTTTCGATTAAAATCAAATGCCAAGAGTCAAGTAAAATTAACAAATGATTCAAATTCAAAATTATTCGATTTAGCATGTATATAATAAAGAGTAACGAAATAGATTTGCGCAATAAAGAACGAAATTCTCATCTAATGTAAAATCGTGCTCCTCGATGCGGATTTTTGCGTTGATCGCGAAGGCTCTTCTCCGCATATCATTCCAGAGAAGAGAAGAACCTCGCGATTGATCACAACCGATCGTACGACGATTGAAGAATAATTTAACGCGTATGTCTCTTAATAATTTGCTAAAACGCTCGGAGGAACGCAAGTTTGACATCCTCATTCGCATAACATGAAAAGTCGGATATTTCCTTTCATGGTTAACTTTTTCATTGATTTTATAATGAAATATTATAAGGTTCAAATGCTGCGATTTCTCGTGTCATTCTATTCGATCATAAATAGAATGATGCCATAGAAGGAGGAAATCACCAGTGTGAAAATACAGCTATTAGTCGCTGTTTTCAGTCCTCTCGAGCGTACAGAAAGATATTATTAACAAAAATGATACGATAACATACAACAGCTAAGGCTCGTCGTGGCGTTACGCGGTAGCGTGTCTTTCTGTCGCGCTTACAAAATTGCGTTCGCAGAACATTCTCTAGAATGAATCGTATCCCGCATTAGCCATATAAAATCTGAAAACAGTCGCTTGCATCTCGGAAAAACGACGAGGTTTATAAGTATGTATGTATACATATTCCATAAGAATATTAAATTTGGAATCTTTTCATATCAGAAGAAGCGAGTTTTCTACATCGGCTAATGGGAAAGGATCCTCCATAGAATAAAGTGCCCTCGAACGCGAGACGGAGAAGAGATCGCGCCTCGCATTATTGCGAAAATTACAATCTTATAATCTTTGCGCGATCTTCTCCGCTTTTCCTAGTAATAGACTATAATCATTGCGCGGAAAAAGCTCTTTAAACGCTTTTCAATTTTCCGAAACGTCGGGAAGACGCACGAAGCTTCGTACAACATTCGGCAACTCAGAAAAACTTTATCAGAGAGCCCGACGTTCGAAACGCTCAAGACTTTGTTGGCGCCAAAGCCGCGTTTTCCACGCGCATTCATAGTTCCGGGGACGTGCTATCTCGCAACATAATTCATCCTACATACTTATAACGTGCTCTCTTAAAAATCTATCTGTATATGTACAAACAATGAGCGCATACGCGCGTGACGTGTGCCGAAGGCCGACGTCGCGTCAGCGGAGTATGTAGGCACGTATCTCCACGACGCTTTCGACACTGTAAGGTGCAATTCGAGCCGCGGGCAAAGTTGGGCGAACAACGCGCCAGGAAGATTACGCTGGCGAGAATACGTGAATCGGGATGAACGAGGGTCGTTATTAACACGTACGAGAGTCGCTATTAGCGCGGCGTCGGCGGATTCACAAAATTAAAACACTATCTACCAACTACGCGTATATATATATTCCTCTCCGATTAAATTTATAAAATAATTAAAATGTAAAAAGGTAAGTTTATAATAATCTATAAAAATGGAAGAGAAATATCGGCAAAGAAATTCAATTCTCTCTATAGAAAAGAAATGATTGTTGTAAAGAAGAGATGTTAAGACTTATTATACAAGTGAGAAAGAAGAAACGATTGTATATACGGATAATCAGCTGAAAAATTGATCATTTATGACCTTTAAAATTTATATTGCCAATGTATAAATAGATCATGCGCGGCATCCAAAAACCGAAGCCAACTATTACATCAGGGTAAAGAGTACTGCAAAGAGCAATTCTCGCTGTACTACTGGATTAATATATTAGACAAATATATGAATGATGAAAGAATTTGAGTCTCAACTAGTGACATTTTCTTCGAATATTGTTTTCTGCAATAAGTTTGTAATTGTTGGTCTCGTCTTTGTATGATATATACACGCTACATAAAATATCAAGAATTGAAAATTAATATTCTACAGTTTTATTGGATATAAAGAAAAAGGCTTGTACTAAGGTTATTGCTACTTTGAAAGGCCGATTAAAGAGCGGTGTGTGTTTACAGTATTATTAGATATCTCGTAGCCGCGCGTTGAACATTGAATCAGTACCGTAAGTAGATTATTACCGGCATGAGTCAGACTCTCGTAGGCGATGATTCGACCGAGATACCGTGCATTTATATTATTATATGTTACGTGGCATTCTCTTCCGGGAGTATATGAAACGTTTAATTTTAATTTTCAAATCTCAAAGTTAAAAATATAAATTTAAGAATAAATTTTTGAGTTTTAAAATATTAAATATTATGCTAAATGATAATCAGAAAAATTTATATGTTAAATTAAGATGAAATTATCGATCATAATTTCAACGTTCACAGTTTATGATGTCATTAATATGTATTGATTGCGGATCTACTCTTTTAAGTCAATTAACATCAGAATCACGAATATGTTTTATCTCATTTTGAAATTGAAATTTTTACCCACTTTTTTGCCACTTTGTTGATACGAGAGCTAAATATTGATAAATTTGGTATAAAATCTTTTTAAAACTTTGGAACTATTTTCCTATCAAGAATACTTTTTTAAGCCATTTTTTACGTGAAACATGTTTATTCTGTTTCGTGATTTTAATGTTAATAGAATAGCGCGCGTGCTTAATTTTGCCCATCTATTTGCCCACGGTAAAAAAATCCATTAGCGCAGCTTCTTTTAGCTTTCGCATTTACGCAAGTTTCGTCCTCGGCATCGGAGACGAACGGATCATCTCCGACGCCGCATTGGCCACTGTCGACCACACTATTGCGGTTCGATAAAGTCACGCATCTCAACGACATTGTTACTCGTTTCCAGACACGTGCGCACATCTTTCACTTGCGAGGATAAGCCACGAGACAACAAGTGAATCTAGGCTTATCTGTCAAAGCTCGTCAAGTGATTTCGCATCCCCGAAAATCGCTGTCCTGTTTTCGCCATTCTGCGACATGATCGCGGGTCGCTCGAGGCACGACGCTGCCGCCGTCTATGTCTCCAGGCCAGGCACCAGACTATGAAAGGTCTGTATATCGTGGAAGGCGCGGCCGCAGCTCTGGTTGTTGTTACGCTCGAATTTGGTGAGGTCAAAGTGCTCGTCCAGTGACTGCAGCTCGGCCAATCGTTCCTCCAGCGTCTTCGCCGAGTCGGCGAACCTGGCAAAATCGCAGAGCCGATCAGGATCGACCACGTCGGCTACCTCCATCATGTCGCTACACGATCTCGAGAGGTGAGCGTTCGCGTCGTCGAGATCCTCGGGGAAGAGCACCGAGTGACAGCTCGTGTTGCTGCTGGCGGTCGTTGCGGAAATGCTGCTTGCGCTGCTCGATCGCACATCGAGCACCCCACCGCTGCTCAGACGATCTTCCGGGAAACCTAGGTGATGGTGGCCGTTGTGATGCGACGCTTCCGGTTCCGGTTGAAGCTCGTCGATGTGCGAGAGCAAGCGTGGCGTCGGCGGCAAAATGTAGAAGTCACTGAACACGTCGTCTTGCAGATCTAGATCGTCGTGCCTCTGCCTCTTGGACCCGAGCCCATCGTTCCTCGAATCATCGGCCAATCTGCGTCAATCGATCGATAAAAAATATTAGCACGAGGATTCTTTACGCAATATTGCGATGCAACTGACAAGTTGACTTTGCGAGAAATTTCGAAATAAACTAATTCGTACCTTTTTCTGGAGGATGCTTCTTCGTCATCGGAGATGAGGCTGCCGGTGAGGCTGACGCTGCTCTCTTTGCTGACGTCGTCCATGTACGACGTCATCACCGGAAGGCTACCGTAACTTCGCGTCTTGTCGTCTCGGCTTTCGCGATGCAATCGTCGCAGAGCGTTATTTATGAGCACCGATCGGCATAAGCTTGCCTCGGGATCCTCGATTCTCTTCAGCTTGACAGCGGAGATCTTCATCAGACGACGGCGTTCCTCGCGGGCGCGATACTTGGCGGAAATCATCGTGGGTCGGCTCCTACGGATCACTAGGTCCTCCTCCAATCTCATTTTAGCGTCTGCGGAAACAAGAAAAACGGGAATATTACAATGATTATCGTTATTATTGCAAAATTGTCATTCTCTCAGTTTGAATCTCAACTCTTGGATATTCTTACAAAAGCAATTATCTTAGAAGAGAATGTTTAGAATGTTTCCTCACACTTTGAACGATTGACTTTTTAATCTTAATGAGAAATGAGAACCGAGTGAAAAGCACTATTAATGCGATAAAATATCTAATCTAATCTTACATTAAGAACACTGTTCTTTTAAAATAATATTAGGATCGATTGGGAGCCGGAATATCTAGCTTTATCATATTTTTCAATATATGATTACTTTCTTGAGGACAAATTATGATAAATTTATTATTGTTTGAAGTTTATTTTGATGACTAAAAACAAAAGAGATAACGGATCATTATGATAGAGAGAAAACGGCGATCCGGGATTTTACGGAGTAAATAATTTCAACCCGGTTAAAAAATGATAATGCATCATTTATAACTTGTGCATCTGGCAAAATCTCGCGGAGATTTGCACGGAAATGGTATTCCATGTGTGTTTTCATCGTGAGTAAACAGTTTCTTGCGGTCGACATAATATATGGATACACGTGTCACTCATCCTACATTTATCTTCCGGTGAGAAAAAAATTCGATTACTGCGCTTTTTCCACGATGTTCATCAAGTATTTTCGCGAGAGCTGCAGAGGAGAGAAGCACACGTACGCTCCAAGTACGTACGTACGTACGTATGTATGCGTTTACTCACGTATGGCCGATAATCTACGGAGACGAAAGGTCTCTCCTCTTTTTCTTTTCCCCCCTATCGTCGTCGTTCGCTGACTGACCCAGTTACACGACGGTGCTTCCGTCTTTCCGTTCACGCAGCGCGTAAATAAATCCTGTCCGTCTGCTTTGTGTTAGCGGAGAGGGGGGGGGGGGGAAATAAAAAAAATACGCGTCCCGCTATCGCAGCGTCTCTCATAATCGACGACGACAATGACATTAGATCGTTGCGTGAAATCGCGCTAACGGTCGCGAAAATTATTACTGTTGACAATAATTCCCTTTTTCAACGATTTTTGAATAATTCCCTTCGTTCGACGAATAAAAATATTTTAAGGTAAATAAGAGCGTGGGAAATTCAATCAACGGTAAGGAGCATTTTGGATCTCTCGTTAATTTGACGAAAATTTCGCGAGAAATGTTATCGAAAATGCATCTCGAAAAAGCGCATCGATTCTTAATCAAAATTCTATCCATCGAGTCTGTGGCTTCCGGTATCTCTTTCAATTTTCCACGTAAAGAAAAATAAATAACTAAAGGTAAAGAGGGAAAATGATCAAATTTTTTACAATCTCGCGAGAGAAAAAGCTGCACGCACGAATATCCACTAATATATTTATTGTTTACTCCGATAAGAGAACGAAAATGTTTATTTAAAAAATATATACGCCGCTGTTTCCAACTCTTCTTCTCTCTTATGTTTATATGGACAGCAATTTTTATTTTGCTGCCGTACGTGCCGCTATACGTTATATTCGCGCATCTTTCGTGCAGTTTTATTGCTACTTGGGTATTTTAATATTAAGAGGGAAACGACTCCCTCCTTCCCTTTCTCGCGCGCAACTCACTTTTCCCTCCATCGATCTCTATTCTCGAGAAATGTTTTCGCGAGCGAATACTTTAAATTGTCATGGAAGTTACTTCTGACCGGTCGCGAGATCATTTCCGGTCTCTCAACGAGGGCATCGGAAATCGCGCTCCCCGATCCCCGCTAATTCCCATCTCCCAATCGATCCTATCGCGTGAAAATTGTTAATTCGCCGTCCCATCGAGATTATGGCCGATAGTCACGGTCATCTGCTTTCTGATTCTTTGTTTAATCGATCGCGTAGGAGGAAAGCCCGCGCGACCAGGGAAGATCGATTTATAATTTCATTAACTGAAGTTGCGACGTGTCAATTAATTTTTAAAATTTAATTTGACACGTACTCGTTTGTCATGTCTTCGATTGACTCGAGTTTTCCGATTCCGGAATTTTATTCCTTCCTGATCGATCGCGCAAATTTTGAGACGAGGGTACGCCGTGCGACCGAAAGATGTCGCGCCACGTGTCTCTTGGCGCCATTTTTTTAGACGGCCAAGATGGCGCGAAGTCGGTCGCGTTCGGTGGATTCGGATGGCCGTTCGCGCGACACTTGTTGCTAAATCGATCGTTTGCGAAAAGATTCGCGTCCGAGATCTTTAAATTTACTTCGACCAACGACTACGATGATTCCTTTGCGTTCGCAATTCGAAAATGACTGAAAAATTTCTGGAGTCGGCCGCTTATTCGCGAGAAACGACGGTTTTTACACGCGCGATATTCAAAGGTTACTGTAATTTTTTTGAGTGCAAAATCCAAAGTGCAATTTCGCGCATTTCGATATTAAGATGATACAAAAATTTCGCGAATCAAAGTGACATCCGAATTGACGAAGACAATTGGAAATTGAAAGTTAAACTGAAGATCGCAGGTGTCGTTCCATCGCGATTCTCATCATCCGGAGATTACTTAATTCTCGTTGCCGTAGAAAATAGAGCGAAAGTGTGAGAGAAAGTAGAGTGGAGACAGGAATTCTCTGTTTTGAGACAATAAACTCCGGAACCATAAATCAAGGTAATACAGCAATTATATAAAGTATTTCTTTTTTGTGAAGAATCTTTGATTAGCGAAAGGTAAGACGAGCGAAATGAAAATGGACACGAGAAATATAAACTAATTGTAAACTTCTCATTTCTCGATCCACAAGATCTCGATCTGTAAAGCGACTTTGGAAAGTGACCGATTAAGTTAAATTCTGTAATCTCACGCGGAATGCGTAGACTAACAGCTCGAACATATGAAGAAGAATTTTTAGCGGATAACAATGTGACAATGTAAGACAGACAGAGAGAGAGAGAGAGAGAGGAGAGAAGGAGGCCTCTCTCGAGAGGCGATTTTACGCTCGAGGTACGCCTAGGCTAACTTTCTCCATGAAGGAAAAACCGCCATGGATACATACACACACACACACATACACACATACAAGTGCACGTTACCTAACCTGACGCGCAAAGTCCGCCTTGCACAGTCGCTAACTCGCACGTTCCTCCCTTCCTACCCCGCCCCTCTTCCTCATTCTTCACCCTTTCGACCATCGCCCTCCAGACTTTCTGCTCTCTCTCTCTCTTTCTTCTCCCCCCCTCCCCCCTAGCGTTTATTTACATACGCTAACACATTGTTGTAGATTGGCAACTTCGCGTGCGCTCTTCTTCGTTGGTTAATCTCGCTGTTAATCTCGCGAAAGAGCGAGATGGGCTTCAACATTTTACAACGTATCACCTTGATACGACAGGTGGATATCGAGCATGAATTGCAAAATCTTTAGGAATTAATTAGTAGAGATATGATAACGACGAACTTCTCTTCTTTGTGAGTATCAGAAGAGTTGGAAAAATTCCTCCTTCAAAGCGTTGAAATTTCAGAATTTTAGGATTATATAAATTTACATAATTAAGTAATATTACGATATTTACGAACAGATTGCATTAGTTGATAGATGAACAGGTCGCGTCAAAGACTAATGAAACCGCATCGCTCTGTTTGTATCGATATGACTTTTATACAACGGCTATCGTTGATCCCGCTTAACAAACACAAGCTTAACAACACAAGACTCCAAGGAATCGATTTATGCGAGCTTTCTAGCACCTCTCCAATATCCGTGTCTTATGAAACTATAGCTTGCATAAATTTATAATGACGCGATACATGCAAGCGACATTAAAAAATCGTTTAAGATGCCGTGAAAAAAAATACGATTTTCTAACGAGGTTTCGTCGAAGGAAAAGCATCGTCACGCGCTGGATATTATGTCATTGTCGAGTAGTCTTTGGCAATTAAATGAAACTCGGAGCTCGACTAAATTTAGATTCCCTTGTGCACGCGCCATCTTAATATTAGGTCATCGAAAGAGGACACAATAGCAAACGTGAGACATCGATAACTGTACATTAACGATACAAACAATAACGCATTGTGTAATTAAACCGTCTCGTTAAATAGTCAAACAATATACTTTCCGTTAAATACAACTTTTCATCAATTTTGTCTCCGTCTATTGAATTTTTTTACGCGAAATGCGCCAAAATGCAACATTGAAATCTTTTTTACAGTCTGTATCGCGGAATAATCGAATTGTTTTAAACAATATTTTCGATATAGTCACTCGTGCTATAAATAACAGTACCGCCTGCCAAAAGTTAATGGCGATTTAGTAACAATGTCGGTTTAGTCACGACTGTTTGAAAGCGGCAGCAATGGGGCAAACTACCCCCCTCCTAAAACGACCATCCGACCACAATACGAGCTTCGATCGCTGCACAACTGTAAACGATGTTTCTCGCTGCCGGGAACACGTTTGCGCCGCTATACCGGGTGTTTGCGTCAAATTTTAACGCGACAGGAACTTGTCGTTTGAGAAATTTAATTGCAAGGGCATTTCATTCTTTAAGAATAAAGATTTTCTTTAAATTGCGAATCTCGTTTCTTTGCGTGAATCTCGAATGAATTATTCTTATTATTTTAATCTATTCTATATTTATTTTATATCTTTTATCAATTATTTTATTTTATTAATTAATTTATTTCTTTTATTTAACTTATTATCTTATTATTTTAAACTTTTATTTTAATACGATTCAATTTCCAATTGTCAAGGATTTGAACGACTGATTGTCAAATCTTACAATTTCCTAATACTTTAATCAAATAAAAAATGCAAATTTGAAAAAGAGAATATAAATATTTGACTCTTCAAATATCGGAAAGCATGAATTGAATATGTACGTTAATATTTAGCTATCTTTGAACGTTGTCACGGTCGTTTCCCGAACAATTGCGAAAGAAGAATCAGCGCGACTTTGAGAAAGCTCTGCTCGACACAACAGTCTCAAACTAATTTGACGAGAGCGCGCAAAGCGTCCCGC